GATAAATTTTTACTTTTTCACTAAGACTGACTTGTCCCAAGACCACAAAGAAGACTATATTTACTATTAATTTTATAAAAAAAAATATGTACATTTTGGTATTAATAAAAAACAAATATGAATAATTCAAATGAGTTGAAAAAAATAAAAACCAACTAATATTTAAATTTAACTAATAGTGATATTGATTTGTTACTTTTTTCATTAGGTTTTTTTTTTTAAATAAAATACAAATAATTAGCTACCTTTGAATACCCCTGCATTTTATTGTTAAAATTAAGTAAAATAAAAATATGCTTTAAGTCACTGAGGTAGTGTTTTAAAAAATAATTTATAGATAAAAATTACTTGACTGCTCAATTCAAAGTACTCATGTACCTAACCTAACTTTGTTGTGATGTAAGTGAAATAATGTAATAGTAATATTTTTTGTTATTACAATTTATGTAATACCCCAATGCAATAACCAAAAGGCAGTGGCGGCTGGGGGGGTTCGCAGTGACAGAATATAGGTATCAGTACAGATGTATGAAAAAAACTTTCAGTGTTTTAGAAAGTTTATAATATACCTTTCTAAAACACTGATGAGTTTTTTTACCTATATCTGTACCGGTATCTATATTCTGCTACTGTAAACCCCCAAAATTTTGGTTACGAGCCGCCCCTGCCAAAAGGTAATATGTAGTTAAAAGAGATTTTACTGCGCATGTCCTCACCACTCCGATTGTTGCCAGATAATTTATTAATATTTGCAGGGCAAAGAAAATATTTAGAAATAATATTCTATAATTTTAGATTAGTTTGATGAATTTTTTTTATAAAGCACAGATTTAATTTATTTATTAAGATTTCATGTTATACAGGGTGTCCCATTAGTGCGTAATTGCTCGATGTTTCATTTGTGTTATAGACATGCAAACAAGTTTAAAATAAAAGTTTTATAAATTTGAAAAAAGCATACTTTGAATATATACAGGGTGTTACTGTATTTAATCTTAGAATATTTTTGAAAAACATAACAGGTGTAAAATTAAAATTCTAGACATCAGTGCAGAATGGTGCGACATGTACACTAAACCCCTCCTAAAGTACAAGATTACTGTAAAAAATTAATAAATATCCGTCTTTTAACCAGATAAATATGTTGTTGCAATGATCCGTCATTCTCAGTACTCTGGAAAGCGTTCCAACATGATTAGGACCGTTCTAACATGATTATGACAGTACTTTCCTTCATTTTGACGTCACTGTTGTCTATCATTCTGGTTGTCAATTTAATTTTCTACTATCGAAGCTTTGGTATCTTTTTGGGTTTTGAAGTCTAATGTATTCCAAATACAGTACAAAATAGCAAACCAGAATGTATTACACTTTATAGTGATAAAAGTTGAAATATGGTACGTAACAGTGGTTCATTTTCCCAAAAAATAACATAAATACGAGGGTATATCAAATATAAACGGGACTGTTTGGATTAAAAATTCCTAAGCGGTTATTGATCTGGAAAGAATTGATGGGCAGTTATTTACCTCTGGGGAGGGGAGCAAACTGATCAAAATTCGCTCGCGTCTCTTTGGTGTGCAAAGAAACCATGAGCGAGAAAGAAGTGCATGTCTTCGTGGAGCAACGGATTATAATAAAGTTTTTGGCAAAGGATGGCATAAAACCAACCGAAATTTTGCGACGATTGCAGGCACAGTTTGGGGATAACACTCTATTAAGAAACCGTGTGTTTGCACGGCACCAAGAATTTTCTGGAGGGCCTGAACAGGTACACCCGTAAAAGCAAAGACGCGATTGTCAGCCGGAAAGGTAATGGCAACAGTGTTTTTGATCGGCTAGGTGTTTTTCACGTTGACTTTCTACACGATTAATGCACAATATTGCCGAGTTACTGAAAGCCGCAAAATTGTCATTTCGAAGAAAAAGGAAGAAGCAATCGGTCAGAAATGTCATTCTTTTGCATGACAACGCCAAACCTCATGTGGCTAATGTCACGAGGGAAAAATTGGAAACGTTTGAGTGGGAAATACTGGAACATCCTCCCTATAGTCCAGACCTTTCCTCTTGTGACTTCCATCCTTTTGGACCCCTCAAAAAATCGCTTGGAGGCCAGCGTCTCGACGATAACAAAACGGTGAAAGCATTTGTGCTCCAATGGCTACAGAAACGTCTGAAGAGTTTCTTCGATGCTGGGATAAAAAAAGCTACCAATCCGATTGGAAAAATATATTTCTAGGGGGGTATGTATGTAAAAAAATAATGTTTGTTTGAAAACTTATTTAAATAAAGCTAAAAATGTTTAAAAAAGAAATCCCGTTTATATTTGATACACCCTCGTATAATTATTTTATTTTTTCAATACTCCACGCCTTGTTTGGAAATTTAAAGGGCGGCAATCTAAGTAAGAATACACAATTTAGACGTCGGACTGAGCAGTAGTCACGTTAATTTTAATTTAAAGACAGATAATGTTTTGACCAATATTTAACGATTATTTCATACATATATCAGTTATAAAGCAGGTGTGATGTGTGTGTGCACATAGAACCTCTGGAAGAACTGTACATCGTTTAGAATAGAAATCAAAAACTATTTCTGTTTTACAGGAATCTGCTGGGGTATGATATAAATTGTAATACCTACAGTTTAACTTTGATCTGTCAGTAGTAATAAATTATAGAACAAATTTTAGATTTTATAGTAAATAAAAGTACACGACATGTAAAAACAATTTCTTCAATAACTTATTAAATTTAAGTAAAAAAGATAATTTTATGTAAATTTATAAGATTTTAATTGATTAATAATCGATAATCATACATCAAGTACTTAACTAATAGCTGATAATCATACTAGGTACATTTGGATGGTGTTATGCAACAAAAAATCTATTAACATTTTTTTCTACAATAAAGTTACTTATTGCAGTGTCCTCAAGCCAATTTTGACACTTTTATTTAAATAAAAAAACATTGCACCAAACACGGACGGAAAGTGGGTTTATTCGTAACTACTATTCTTAAAAATGACTACAAAACACCATATTTGAACAGAATAAGAATTAAATTTATTTGTTATTGAAGATTTTGTTCATAATGTATCATCATGTAAATCAAAAGAAATATAGTATTCATTTTAAATACCATTAATAATAAATATTTAATAAGACTATTTGACATGGTCAAAAAAAAATGAATATTTTTACATACATTTTTACACTATTCATTGACATTAAAATTTAAATCTCCCAGTATTACTAAACCAAAAAGTGATTGTCCATCCACTACTTACCCCAAAAATGTTTTATATATGATTGGAATAACATCTGCATAATTTTAATAGGTGATTAAGGAGAAAAATGGACCAAAAAGCCGTATATAGTTAGTTCTGTTCTAAAATCAACAACCAAATATCAGATCTGCTTAAACATATACTGAGAGTTCCATTTTTTCTAAAAATATATCCAAACTGCTAACTGAACTAAAGTTTAGTTTTAAGTCTATGAAATATGCAAAAAAACGTCGACTTAAAATATGCATGTCCACTCTTAAACAATTACAAGACAGTGATGCTAAGAAAAATCGAAAAAATCCAGCTAATTACTTGCCCTAGGTTAAAATTTCCTCGAAGTAGCTTTTCTGCATTGTCAACTATATCATTTAAAAGTATTGTAGATGGATACTGAATATTTTTTTAGACAGGGAGGCCATAAAAATAACGAACCAAAAACTCTACATTTGGAGTGGCCATGTATGAGTTTAGAAGAACAGACCTTCGCAGTTCTTCCACTTCATACACAGGATTTGACAGTTTTGCCGCGGAGCTAACCGAAGTAAAAAATATTTAATTTTCACTATTTACATATTAAAATTTCAGAATTGAAGAGTCCTTCACTCCTTGAATTTATTAGCATTACTTGACTACTGAAGCTATTATGGAAAAGTGATTTGTCTGATTTAAATTTAGTCTGCGCTAATTGAAATGCACACGATACATTAGCATAGAAAATTATTTTATAGATAATAATAATTTCGCCTATTATGTAAATAGTCAAATTGTTAACAGCTGTTGAAATTTTGATGTTGGGATATTATAATACATATTTAAATAATTATTTCTAGCCCATAAATACATATGATTGCACGGTTCCACCAATAACAATTTTTATTCTACGACACTGGCTGTTTAACTTTTGTCCACGCTGTATTCAATACTTCATATCTGTCTCAAAAACTTCTAATAGCAAGTTGATAATATATAATTTTTGCACTTTATTAGTAAATCCAAAACAAAGGTACATTATTTAAAAAAAATAGGCATTTTAATCGACGAAATTTTAAAATATAGCATGAGACAAGTATAAAGCAATTTTTTGGATTGGTGTAATTAATTTGGAGAATATTCCCATCCCGAAGAAAAAAGTAAAATTCCAACTCCAGAAATATGTGACTCATTGTCCAATTTAAAATTTCAACACTTTTATTATAAAACTTGTCATAAGGTGTGGACTCTTTTGTTCAGAAGGTACATCATATTATTTATGAAACATTTAAAAATTTAACTGAATACAATTTTTTCATAAAGGAAGGACGGGGTCCCTTTAAGTTTAAAAAAAAAACAAGAGATGTTATAAAATAGCAACTTTTGCCAACCAATTATTAGGAATAAGCTTAAATGATCATTAGATACCAAATCAAGCACATGTATGCTATTAAGATTAGCTTCACAAATGTGTACTTTGGTTCCCCTGGAAAAAATTATGGTGCCGTCTATGATCCCATATACATAAATTTTAAATTCATACAAAATACTTTTCTCTCGTGACAAAAGCACAGAATGTGAAACTGCCGTTTGTAGACAAGCTTAACTTGGTTATCATGTTTACTATGTTCCTAATAATGTGTATGGATCTGTATAATAGTTTTCGTTCCATTTTGCTTCACGAATCACCTGTTAAAATAAAGCGGGCGTTATTCCTAACGAACACAGGAAAAAAACTAAACCAGTTCAAGAATATTAATAATCCCTTTACTATTAGCTGCCACGACAACGTTTGACGTCTGTCTCCAACATACCGCGGACACAAATTCATTCATATCATCCTCCCTCCTCTCTTGTTCCAACACGCCCTCGATGGCCTCGAATTTGTAGCTGAACAACTTTTTACTTAAACCTTTGTAATATACGTACAGAGCGTTATTCTCGGAACCGCAAGCTACGTAATCGCCGTCAGTGGCTAAACCAACGAAATTTTTCTCGTTCACGTGACCCACGAACGATCTTAAACAATAAGGACTGTTAATACTCCACATTTTCAATTGAGAATCCGTAGAAGCACTAACTATCTCTTCGTTATTTAAGAACTTAACGTAGCTCACTGCCTTTTTGTGTCCTTTGAACACGCTGACGGCTTCCTTCATGTTTCTTAAGTCGTAGTAATGAACACAATGATCGGCGCTACCGAACGCCAAGTGCGAGGAACTCTTGGGATTGAATTTGACGCAACACACGTTCGCCTTAGCCTCTAGAGTCGCCACGGAGTGTTCTTCGTTTAAGGAATACAACTTGACTCTGGCATCGTCGGAACCGGACGCTATCAAACGGGTATCAACGCCATTGAAATCTACGCTCCAACAGCGTTTTTCGTGTTCTTGATAAGTTTTCGTCCTTTGGCCAGTAGAAGCGTCCCAAATGGTAACCGTGCCTTCGTAGTCGCTCGACGCCAGTGTACTTTTGTGGTAAGTATGCCAACTGACGCAAGATATTTTCGATCTGGATACCATTTCGATACACGGATAGTGAACGCTTACTACATCTTTGATGACGGCTCCATAATCAAACACCTTTAAAATAAAATGTTGTAATTTTCGTTAAGAAATTACTATATGCATAATAAAGAACTAACAAAATATCTCTAGTCTGAATATTTATTTATTTTCAAATTTCTTTTTAAAAAGTTTAAGCTTAATAATTTCAAACTAATTAATATTAGAAAATTTCATAATATAGTTAAAACAAAACAATCCTGCCACTTTACAGTTCACAATTTTTCCTTGCAAAATTACTGCAATTTCTATAGTGAAAAGCAGACTTCGATAGGTGGCGCTGTAAAATGTCAATTCTTAAAGGAGTAAAACAAATTTCAGTTGGTAAGGTTATTTGGTGCCAATTTGAGTGTTTTCAAGGAGATTTTTTTATTAACTTTTAGATTCTTTCTATTATTTATTTTGACAAAGATATATTTTAGCATATTGGTCCTTCGAGCCAGATTTGAACTAGTGACCTACTGATCATGTTAACTTGCAGAATAATCCTACTCTTAAGGTACGATCTCTTTTGGGCGAGTAGTTGAGACGTTAAGACGCGGCGTTTAATCGTGCCGATAGGTTAAATAGTGATATAATGATGGTCTGAATTTAAGCGACAAGTCGATACAAGTCGCCACAAGACGGCACGTCTTACGGCTAATTTGGTTGTCAGGCAATTTAAACGTGCACGTTTATTTAATCGCCTGCTATTGATGCAAAATAAGCTCCAAAGGTAATAGACTCAGTTTCTCCAAATCGGAAGACGAAAAATTAATTTACGAAGTGTCACCGACATCAATACATACAAATTTACATTAAGCGTCAACAATTGCTAGCAACACAATAGAAAAGAACGACTTGTAGTTGAAAAACAAGCTTCCCGAATTCTGTGGACAAACAATGCGAATGTGTTTTCCGTCAATAGCTCCACAGCAATTTGGGAAATTCCATTTCTCGCTAAACTGCGCAGCTATTCTAATATAATTTTCTTTCGACGGTTGTTTTAAGAAAACAGGCATTAACCTGTTGCACAACACCTAAAACATCTCGTACCAGTACACTAATGTAGTTATGGGAAATTCTATAATTAAATGCCATCGAACCATAGGATTCTCCTGTAGCCAAGTACCTAAAAAGAAAATATGGTTTTGCATATTTCTACAGCCATTATTCTAAACATGAAATACCTTAACACCAAAGCAAGCTTTTCCATTGCTGTAATTGGCCTTTTAGCGCATTTAGTAGAATTTATTTTATATCAATTGATACAATATTTAACAGTTCATTAAATTGACTTTTGGTAAGCCTAAACTATTCTTTGAATTTAGTTTCGTCATTAATTAAATGTCTCATTATTAGCAATCTTTCTACACTTTTTTTGCATTAATGATTATAGCAAAATGTCATCGTCTTCTGCTTCTTCTATAAGCAACTGTGCTGCAATCACAAGTTCACTAGTAGTCATTTTTATCGAACGAAATAAAAAATACTGATTGGCGACTAGTCGATTACTTGAGGTGACGACGTAAACAGACCACTAGGTGCGATCAGGTGCGTCTAGACGTAAGCGATTAAGTGCCGCGTCTAAACATCTCGACTACTCGCCCAAAAGAGACCGTACCTTTAATATTATCATACGAACCTGGTACATTTGTTGGACTTTATCTTGAAAAGGAAACTCGTCCATTAATCAAAATACTGACTAATGGTACAGTTTATTTAATTATTCGACAACTGAGAACGCAACTTATTTAATCTCACGCTATTTCATAATTCGTATGCAGCTGCCTGGCAGCATGCAAAAATATGTCCGAGTTTACATCTTGATGGTTAAGAGAGATGACTCGCTATGCACGATAACAAAAAGTGTTTAAGTTTGAAAGTGAAAAAATCGATCCCGAAACATGTCACCTGTTATAGGTTTGACGATGAAGTGTGCTGTAACGATATGTACGAAGACCCTGAGGCCGTTTTTGGTCGCAGGTTAAAACTGGAGGGACTGTGCGAGAAAAAGAATTGTATCGTTGAAGGTGATGAGGAGGAAACTTATCCAACTGGCAATCTTAGATCATCGAGAGTGGAAATTTGCTAGAATTATTTTAGCTCTGTTGAGTAGGAAAGAGAGAAATGTTGCGATGTAAGAGAATATATAACGGAATGCAATTTTATATTGGACCATACTTATTTACGTGATGTTCCTCACGTTTTGAAGACAATATATTTAGCTTGTACTAGCTACTAGCTAGAGCGAGATGAGATTGTTCTTTGTAGGATAGATATGTACTTCTTGAATGCGTGGGTTTAAACACAAATGGGTTTAACAGAAGCGGTTAGCAAAATGTTATGTTTAAATTTAAAATTAAGTTATGAAATTTTAACACAATTATTCACCTTTTAGAGTTCTTTAATTATTTACATAATATACAACAATTTCGATTCATTAGCACCATTGTAAAAGAGAAATTGTTGAAAGTATTACATTTCCCAATTCAATGCAAAAAGTCCGCTAAACAAAAACAATACGAATTGGCGCAATTATACTTGCAAGGAAAAAATTGATAACGGTTAAGTGGCTCTAATTTAGTTACATAAATAACAAAATTAATTCATCGAATTATTCTTCCCAATAATCAATATAAGTTTATTTTGTTCATTGGGTATTACCCAGTTACTGAACATTACTTTTATTTTGATAAGTAATTTTCTTTAACAAAGTTGTCAACTTCTTAATAGTTACATAAAAAATTTAACTCTACCACTTATGTAGTGGTACCATGTAGTTCACATTGATAACACAAATGGAAAAGTTAGTTAAAACAATATTTATTTATAATATTTGAAGTGATTCACTAACTTTTGTAAATATATATATATATATATATATATATATATATATATATATATATATATATATTTTTAAATTAACGAGATTTATTCATTATTGCAGTTCTGAATTAAATGCAAGCCGACACTTACAAAGAAAAAGACGCTAAAGCATGCTTCTTTAAATTTACCCACATGTAAAACCTTAAAAATAATGTACAATTAGGCATTCGAATGACCTGTCAAAATGCTGCCCGTGGGTAATGACAGGTTATGATATGGCAACCCTATATACTTATAGATTGCGTAAAGCAGGTCGTTTTACGAGCGGCCATATTGCCTCGCAAGTGCTCATTTATAAGAATCGGTTTAGCAAAAATGTGTTTTAAAACCAATTTTCAGCCATTGAAGATAGTAAAAAAATAATTACCTACAGTTGTAGTTCAAGGCATAAGGTTTATTTTGAAAAACATGAATGATCAATTTATATAAATATATATCACTTTGAACCTGTCAAATCACCAGGCCCACAGTGTTGCCACATCATAACCTGTCATTACCCACTGGCAGCCATTTTGTTTGGAATGCCTAATACAGTTGGGTGACATTTCTCAAACTGTTATTTGAGGAAACATATCTTCGTCCATTGAAATTTTACTAAGAAGTGGTGATGTTTTCTATTCTCTGATCCGCTATAATGTATGTACCTCTCTTTGCACTTTTACCTGATGATTCCTGAAGTCTAGAAGTTGTCTGATTTTTATAGAAGGTTTAAAATAATGTGCTCGACTCAAGAATATAAAAGTTCAGAAAATTTTGTATTTGACTTTTATAGATTGTGTTGTACAATGTTCTTACATTTTTAAATTATCTTAATCTGAGAAAATAATAGTGCGCACTACGTCAATCTCTCAACTTATGCCGAAGTCTGTTGTGAGAATGATGAAATAGGAATTAATTTAAAAATTATTTTTCAAAGCTTCTTTGGGCGAAGACGGAGACTAGTTAAGTCACGCCCCATCTAAGATCGGACCAATGGTTTTGTTCTATATTACGTGGTGTGATAACGGGCGGTGTAACTTTCTATATCCACCAAACATTTGCAAAAATATTGGCGACAAAAAAACCTAAGTACTTAATTATCCGGTTGCTTGATGTATAAACTGTCACGAAATAAATTACTACATGACAGTGTCGTACTTAGTTATTTTGTTATAGTGAAAAATATGTTGTATTTAACATTTAACTAAATTGACGATGTCGTTTCTATCTTTAAGGATTTACACATAGGTATCTTTAAAAAAATACTTTGTGGGTAAGTTAATGTGATTCTGTATAGTATTAATACCCAGGACCAACCATTATTTATTATTTAAATTTAGTTTAAATATACCATAGGTAATGAATTTTAATTTTTTTATTGCTTTAAAACTTTCCAGAATTAGAAAAAGAAATATGCTGGTCTATTCTAAATTATGTTGGTTATATGACAATCGAATCTGTAATATCAATACGAAATGAATAAACCATACAGTGAAATCTTCTAAAATAGACAGTAGAAAAATGTCAGGCATGAGTAACATAAGCCTATACTTCAGTGGTGGTGTGGAAACGTACCAACAATTACTGAGCTCACTTCAATTTAAAAATGTTTAAATAATTTTTATATTAATTTAAAATGCATAGTTATTTTATACCTATGTAAAACATTAAAATTTCCCGTCACTGGAAACAGTTTCTCCTGTTTTGTAATCCCCTATAATCTTTACGATTTTTTTAAAATATTTACATAATAATTATTATATGCTGCATAAACGTTGTGTGAAGGGTAGGGATCGACCGATATGATTTTTTGTGGCCGATACCGATATATCTGCCATACATTTTGGTTATGAATATTTCTCTATAAGAGATAGGAAAACTTAAATGATTATGCCCTTTAGCAAAAACTAAGAAATTAAATCAGGTAAACCAAGAGGTTCAGTTCAACGTCCCTGACTCGATTTCTAAGGTTCGTTTTGGAATACTTTTGAAGAACTTACTGTTATGACAGCAAATAAATCACCACCATATAGGAAGAAGACTGATACATTTGATAAATAAAATTAAGGATGATATTAACATTTACATATTAAATTAGATAAAATATCAAAAATGAAAATCCTTTATTTGGTGGCCACAAAAACAAGACATTTTTCTACTATTATAAATATAAATGTGCAATAATATACTTAGGACCACATAACATTAACCTAAATATGTACTGCACTTGCAACAAAATAAAGTTGTAATAATCTTTTTTTTTAAGTTCATTTTTGATTTAGTTAACATAATATTATGTAATGCATTAAATTACTAATAAAATTAGCTTTTAAATGAAGTGTAACACTTCACAATATGTAACAGTTTTTTTATCCCGCTAGTGGGCGTTAAAATGAAAAGTAACATAATGAACAGTCATATTGCTGAATTTCCCATAAAATTACATTTTTGGTCATACTTCTGTATATGTAACTTAGGCCTGACTAGGCCCATTGTGCATCCTCCTAAGTAGATAGGCACCTCCTAGCTCGTGAGCCAGCCTAATATGTCATACTTTGTACTTTCTCTATTTAAATAATTGTTATATTGACGGAGGGGAGAGGAATGACATATGACAGTTGAGGATACTATAAAAAGATGTTCGTCTTAAAATAAAAATCAACCCGTTTTTGCGTTTCTTTAAAAAAATCTACTTCAAGATATTCTGAGATATGGCCGGTTGCTACCATTAATGAATTATCTTGTATATGAAAGCATAAGAAATCTTCTAACCTCAAAAAGAGCAGAAAGTTTAATTTTGTTTGATTTTAATGTACCAAAACTTGACATAAAATATAAAAAAAATAAAAAACGAAAATGTAACCAAGACGTAAAATAAAATAAATTAAACCCAAAAAAGCAATATGTCACAAAATATATATTTTTTTAACTTAATCTGTTGCTTTTAGATTTTAAATTGTTTTGTATTTAATATTTGTGTTTTAACTTGTTTAAAAAATTCTTAGCAATTGAAATATTTAATTGATACTTTTATTAGGGCGATACGAATATAAGCCGATATCGCACTCTACATATCGGCCGATATACCGATATCTGTCGATCCAGAGTGAATGGGCTCGATCTTTTGCTATCTGAACCCTTCTGAATAAATAAAATGTAATATAGAAGTTGTTTGACTATCTAGAAACAACATGTAAAAAAACAAAAAAAGATAAAATAATATAGTACAATTAATTACTAGAAGCCGGACAGATGTCGGACAAATGTCAGCATTCCATTATACACTCCTGACATTTTTTGCTGTCTACAATTAACGTATTCAACTAAAAAAAAAAAAAATTACATACCTTAATTCGCTTCGTAACACCAGCAATGGCAAAAAACTCATTGTCTTTGTCAAACTCTATGCTGGACACTATTGTAGAATTATTAAACAGATCACTGGAGTAATTGAGTGTCGCTAGAACACGCAACGAGTTATAAGTAGAGAATTTTATTAGGCTTTCTCGGAATTGGTCCAATCCAACGTTTATTTCTGTAGCGGGTTTGGCAGTTTTATCAGTCGCATCTTTACCAAAGAACACTTCTTTGGACCGATGGGAGAAATAACAGTCGACGAAATCATCGAAATATGCGTGCATGCGTCTACGGCGCATCGCTAATGAGGCGTTTGTACGAGACGGTGTATCTTCCTCTTTTCGACCAATATTATCGATGATCTCGATCATCTCTTTCTTCATCGCGTTTACAGTGGAAGCGTCGGTCTCTGAAGCTCCGGCAGCCGTACGTTCAACGTCTTCCAAAGTCGGACATTTACTGTGCACTTCTTTCAATTTATTACCAACTTCTTCTATATCCTTTTCGATGATGGATATCTCTTTAGCGATTTGCGTTTGACGTTCGCGTTTTTGAATGAGTAAATGTTTGAGAAACTCTAAAAGCAGTTTGTTTTGCGCAGCACAAGATTCCGCTTCCAACAGCTGCTTACGTTGCATGAGAACCTCTAGCATAACGTTTACGTCAGGCAGAGTGAGGTTTTGCGATTCTGAGGCTACAAAATCGCGTAAACCATCGACAGAAGTACTGAATTCGCCGGAACTGTCTCTAGGCAAACCAAGGGCTTCGTAACCGTTCATGCGTAACTTATGTTTCTTAATGAGGTCGTTTAGTAGAAAATTGGGAAAAATTTCGTCTACGGTAAGAGCCGAATTGCATTTGGGACATCTTTTTTGCACTTCTATTGACTTAATGATGCAGTTATAACAGTAAGTGTGACCGCATTTAGTTATGTGCGCTTCTTCAATTACGTTGAAGCAAACTGGACATAGGAAATCTGAGTTTTTCTCGTCGAAGGTTCCACTTGAAGTGGGGCGTGGTCGTTTAGGGGTACGAATTGATGAACGGTTAGGGGGGATGTTGGAACCACTGTGGGAGGAAGCAGAACTACTCCTGCCATCACGGCTTGATGCCATTGTTGTGAAGTATAGACAGGTACGGTTATTAAATCACTACCGACCTGAAACAATCAAATGGTTTATTTACCATTATTCTTTTAACAAGTTTACAAAGTGCTATTGGTGTTGACACTAATATCAGACTGGACTCATTAAGATTAGAAATACTCGTTGCATCAGAAACCATTCAACATGAGATATCAAATGCAGCTATCAATTATTTTCATAAAATTTAACAAACTGTTATACAAGGTACTCTATAAATTCACATGAATTAAACATGTACATTTAACAAAATAACTTTTTATTCAAATTCCCACTGTTATCTGCTCGCTGTGATCGTTTCAAGATGATTAAAAGGAAAAAGTTACAAATATAAGTGATTTTAAATAGAGGAAACATTGTAAAAATTACTATCTATATGATATTCACAGTGTTTCCAAATTAAGAGAAAAGACTTCTACCATCAAATTAAGAAATATACAAAAATCATAAAATATAATACATTAATTTTCAACTGTCATTCGTGTCAGTCAAATGACAAGTATTAAGTAATAATTTAATTTTTTTATCATAAAATATCAATAAAAATCATTATGAATAAATAAAAATATTCAAAATATCAAGAGTCATTTCTTGCAGCTTTTTTAGAACTATTGAAAGACTTACTCAGAATATCCAAATTTAATGAATTTGCACTTCTTTTCATTCTTGTTAGAATACTAAATAAGCAATAATTAATTATGTTAAATCATTTTGACGAGTATATCTTACTGGTACACTAAATTGAATCGTTTCTAAATGTCCGGAATAATGATAGATCCTGAAATAACTTTATGTAAAAATGAATCTACTGTACTCTCGACTGTAGCCCTTCGAAAATCTACACATTCAAGATCCATTAAGTTTACTAAAACATAACCAAAGTTCCAAATACTAAACATAATTTGAATTCACAATATCTCAGAAACTATTGAACATATTCACGAGCCCTAAATAAGCTAAGTAAATGTGAGGTTGTTCAAGTTCCTTAAGACAAAACCTAAAGCTTTTAGAGCTTTATTTATTGCATAAACCTTTTATGACATTAACACGTTTAATAATTGAATCAGAAAATCAAATAAATCTTGTCATGTCCTCTACCAAAAATAATTCTGTAACACTTGTTGATATTAAATGAAATAGTTATCCACAGACCAATCGTGCAGTGCATTAATATTACTTTGTAAATGATAACAATCATTGGCATTATTAATGGGCACATACTCGTGTCATTAGGTCATCCGCAAAAAGTAGAAAATATCTTTAATGTCATTGAGAATAATAATGTGAACTTTGTGGAACACCTGTTGGTATGTCATATCATGGACAGACTACCAGCTATCCTCACCATTTGAACTATTTTTAAATAGCTTTCAAGTCAAGTCAGAATTTTTTTTAAGTTAAATAGCAGTAAAGTGTGATTAACACGGTCAGCTTTACTAAAATCAGAATTTATTGTGTCAACTTGCATATTTTCATAAACTTTAAAATAATATTTGTTAATGACATTTATCAGAATTTTGTAAACTCACAGTTTTTACTTGTTGCTAATGATTTGAATATTTACATATCAATCAGCAATAATGATCCAATTATGCTTCATAATGACTTAGCTGGAGTTGTTAGATGGTGCGAGATAAATCAATATTTAAATACAGGTGAAGAGAAATGCAATTGCTTTTTCTCAAGTGTAAGGACTTGGGCGTAATTTTTGATACAAAACCTATAAAATGCTTAGATGGATATCAACATCATCAACAGATGTTTCTACAATTTCTTTAAAAATTCTTTATTGCTCATTAGTTCATACAAATAAATTTTTGAGAGTGGTTGCTAATACATTAGGCTGGAGACTGAGCAAATATATTTATAGCGAAGAAAATTCTTCCTTCATTGATGTATCTGTATAAAATTCTATCAAAGGGGACTCTCTTGAAATAAATTGTGTCATATATCTCTTCTAAGAACTATAAGACAATATTCCCTGTTTTACATACCTTAACCACCCACTCTACAAATTACGGATATAAATAACCTATTACCAGAATGTTACGAGAAGCAAATAAAAACTCTGATAAAATTGATTTTGCTTGTATAGTTCGGGAAACACTGAGAATGCAGTACTGCCAGGCATAGTCAATGTATTTCTAATGGACACTATGTTGCCGTCTTTGCGATTGATGTGACATGGTCGGCCCAGTAGTAGTCAATGTTATTAGAGCATGTATTCTTGGTTGCATACATGAGGACCGTTTGCCTTTCTTGATGTCTAATTGAACGGATTTCTAGAAAGGAAGCAACCCACAAATTTGTGATTTTATTGCACTAAGAACTGTAACCTTTAATGCAAAAAAGGATCCAGGCTACATTTATCAGAAGTAATCCAAGCGGCTTGATTGCTTTCTGCATAATAGAGAAGAGAGTTCGTTATTTGTTTCTCCCTGAGAGTGAATGTGAAGTATTAAAAATAGGAAACCGAATATTTTTGTGATACAATATGAATGAATACTAGCATACCTTAAAGAATTCTGATGAAAAAAGTTATTGGATAGGAGAAGGAAAGCCCAAGCTTTGGTCAGGTAAATCGTATATTAAGATAATAGATAGAAACATGGATGTTGAGAATAAAAAAGTTAGCTGTTTAAAAACACGTAACTTACTTCTTGATAAAAAAAAAAACATTTTCAATTTTTCTGAAAAACAAATTCTGAAATAGATATCCAAAAAACAAATAGGTCGTCCGGCATTATTTAAAGACTTGCTAATATAACTGTGGCTTGAAGAAAAAAAGTATACAATCCAAAGATATAGAACAAAAAAATGTGATGCACTTAATTCCGAACAATTACATGCAATTTTATGAACATACATATAACCGGCACGGACATCGACGACAATGTGGATGGATTCAGCAGAGCGCCTGATTTTGAACTGGAACCTATGCCGGTAGAATACATTAAAAATACAATATGTATTTTTTAACTACTTCCTTTAACAATAAAGTATCTAACCAAACAGTGCTAAAATTTATTTTACAGAAGGGAACCGACCCACAAAAACCAAAAAATCCAAGTGAATTATTTATTTATTTATTTACGGGCAAGCCCATTTGAGAACTAAATTACAATTTTAAAATTATAATTAAAATGTAGTGAAATATATATGGTGCTGAAATACAATCGTGGTATAATTCATAAAATAGGTTAATAATTTAAAAGACAAAAGACAATAAGGTTGAATAAAATATTTACATTAAACATTAAAATTAAAAATTAAAGCTCAGTACTAAGTAATTGCTTTATAAATTTACGAAAGGGGGTGTTAAATATCTCAAGATCCTTATGAGTGTTGGCTAATCTTAACATTCTTGGAATACAGCTGCTAAAAGTATGGTTTAAACGATAAAAAGGTACATAAAATGTTTGTTGCTGTCGAGTTGAGCGCGTTGGAACATAAAGATTTATTTTTGTTAGAAGTTCAGTACAGCTGCATCTGCCATTGATAATTTTGAAAAGTAACGTCAGGTCTCTCTGTTTCCTCATAGTTTCCAAAGAGGGGATGTTTACAAAATTCTCTATCAAATCATACTCGCAAAGGACACCCAATTTATAGGCTATGTATCTAAGAAATTTATGTTGCACATTTTTTTTTTGTTTCTGCTGTGCGTTATGTAATGTAGAGACCAGACAGAAGAGCAATAATCTAGGTGAGGTCGGACTAGTGAACAATAAAGGACTTGTTGTGCAGTTGTGTCAGTAAAATCATATGTTAGCCTTTTGATAAAATCTAACATTTTCATGGATTTATGGATAGCCTTAGGTATGTGTTGATTGAAGCTCAAAGTGGGATCTAGAATAACTCCAAGGTCTTTAATTTGATTAACAGACTCCAAGATATGACTATTTAAGTTATAATCAAAAGTAGTAGTTGGTACATGGGATCGATAAAAGCGCATGGCATGGCACTTTATAGCATTCAAATCCATGCCATTTAAGGCACACCAGTTTGATAGATTATCAAGGTCAGACTGAAGCCAGAGGGCATCATAAATGGTTTTAATAGTCAGGAAAACTTTTAAATCATCTGCAAACAATAGTGCTTTGCCATACTGAAAACAATGAATGATGTCATTTATAAATAAGTTGAGTAATAAGGTACCAAGGTGTGATCCTTGAGGAACACCTGAGATAACTTGAAATGAGTTTGAATAGTGATGGTTTACTCTAACCATTTGAGTTCTGTTTATAAGATAGCTACTAATCCATTGCGTAAGACCCCATTTATGCCATATTTATCGAGCTTTTGAAGTAAGAGAGAATGGTTAACCCTGTCAAAAGCCTTAGAAAAGTCAGTGTACACAGAATCAATCTGGCAACCCTTCTCCAAAGCTTCCGACAGGAAGTCGACGTAGGTAACTATATTTAATTCAGTCGATTTTCCAGCACAAAAACCATATTGATGATCCGTTATGATGCCAGAGCAGTCATAGGTAAGGTAGTCTGTTATATTATAATGTTCTCAAAAACCTTAGGTATAGTACTGAGAATAGATATAGGTCGGTAATTTTTGACGTCTGACTTGCTACCCGATTTGTATATTGGGGTAACATAAGATAGTTTCCAATAATCTGGAAACTCACCTGTGACAATAGATTTATTGAAAATATAGAAGAGAGGGCGAGACAATACGAAGTTGCAATTTCTGAGTAGGATAGGAGGAATAATAATAATTATATTCTTTTTTAAATTTGTAATGCTAGCGCCACATTAGGCAGACGTTCAGCCACCTATCTTCAGCAGCAGAACGTCTGCTGCAGATAAATCCTACAATCTCTTACAAGCAATTTGTTAACTCGCTACATTGAGCTAAATATCGGCTGAAACGCATAGCATTTGAATTTACTACTCAAAGATATGCGACTTGTTTTCGGCAGCTGAACTTCTGCCTAATCTGCGCCAGCCTAATAATTCATGATGTATAAGCATATTTAAAGACCATGAATTTTTTATAATTTTCAAAACTTTGACATTTAATTACTCAATAACTGTTTTGGGGTTGGTTCAGTTGTGATTTATTACCTGCAACATGAAGTTTCAGAAATTCAAACGCGGACAAATGCTTCATGAGAGTGCGAAAATTGTGATTTTTAATATGATTTGTTATTTAGTCAATGATGATAAATTGAGTGTGACTGCAGCGGTAAGTCGTGTTTCCAAATTGAGTGGGGTCAGTGAAAAAGCAATTTATACCATCAAGAAAGAGGGGAAACAAAACAATGGGGAATTGAAATCTCCTGCAAGAAGAAAAAAGCGGATAAGGCAGTCAAATTCTCGCGAATATACATACGATGAAGGTTTTAAGAGCTTATTGAGAAAAATTATGCACCTTTTTTTTTAACATTCCACCAACTTTGGATGCAATTTATATTATTCGAGGGAATAAGAATTCACCATCGTTCTTTTCAACACAATGTAGATTGATGCAAGATATTGGTTTTGAAAATGTGAAAGTACAATGTTAGAACGAAACGACATCATTCATTGGTGGCACAGGTATTTAAGAGACATCAAACAGTATCGCCAACAAAATTGTAACATTATCTATTTAGATGAGACTTGGGTCAACGTGGGTGAAACAGTTAACTATGCATAGTGTGATAAAACCATAAAAAATCGTAGATATGCTTTTATAAAGGGTTTAAACACAGGCCTCAAAGCACCTACACAAAGAGGTCCAAGTTTCGTTATTGTTCGCGCAAGATATGAAGGTGGATTTTTACTTGAGCCATGTTTTCTTGATAAAGAAAAACGATGGCAATTATCATGACGAAATGAACGCCGACTATTTTGAGCAATGGTTTAAGGAGTCGCTGATTCCTAACTTGCCCAAAAATGGACGAAAGAAAGTTGTTATATGGATAACGCTTCGTATCATTCCCGTAAATTTAGTTTTCCAGCTAACACATGGAACAAACCTGAAATACAAAATTGGCTGTTTGAAAAAAAATATTTTTTTAACGACTTCTATTTAAAATATGAGCTGCTTGAGAGTAATATGACAAATATAAGATTGAGGAAATAGTTGCAAAATACGGGGTAACTGTTTTATGCTTACCACTGTATCATTGTGATCTTAACCCGATACAGCGCCATATTGCTATGAACAACTTTGATTTCAAGACGCAGAATGTTCGTTCATTGATAGATGAAGCATTTGAACATGTCACTAAACAAAATTGGCGTAATTGCGTTATTGAACATACAAATTTTGAGATAAAATTTAAAGCTGTGTCAAAATTTGTTTGAGATCGGACCTATTACCAAGATAGCGACGGCTGGCAACGGCGCGCTTCATAAGACTTCACACTGCATTCTCAATGTGTCTCACACTATAGCTTTTCTAATTTTAATTGTCAAATACATAATTTGTTTTAGTTTGCCTGGTTTTATATAAGTATTGATTTTATATATAGGTATAAAAAAATAGACAATTAAAAAAAACGAAATTTAATCTTATTTAGTTTAAGTGTTACCTTGACAAATTTGTATTACCTTTTCTATTCCATATTTTTATTGGGGTAGTTGCCGAAAGTCTACCGGTCTGGTGACAGTGGCGGATACGTGTGCTACGATGCCATATTGTAATAAGTTACTTCATCAGGTGGTATAGCATAAAATAAAAGTTTATCAATTCTAATTAATTAAATAAGTGTAAATAAGGGCACTGGTATAATTTAAATTTAAGTCAAAATGAGGCTTTAACAATTTAATAACTATCCCCAAAGTTTCACATCTGTATAAATAGTATAGGGTGAGTTATTCAAAATAAACTTTATTTATTTTTAAACTTTGAAATCAGTATATTTTCAAAAATAGGTTTATTGCCTGATTTAACAGTAATAGCTTGTACCCTTAGTTTGGAAACACCCATGTTAATAATATGAGCATCTGTCTATTTTATATTGAATATAATTCAAGATATTTTCAAATCTAGATACATTATAAATTAAAAACAAAACTGGATACAGCAGATTCATTTTTAATAAACTTAAAAAAGTGAAGCACAAATTGAAACATTGGATCCTACAAGAAAATTCTGATATAATAGAATATAAAAGAAAAAAAATTATAATTAAATCAAAGATTTACACCAAATGTTTGTTTTGTCTTTTTACTTATTTTTAAAATGGGTACATAAATAGGATTTTTCATTTTACTTTTTTCTTATTTAAAAATTCTGTTTTATTAAATATTGTTTTTTTTTTATTATTTTCTGAATTTTATTAAGAAACATGTTTATATTAAATTACATGAATTATTATAACGAATGTCTTAAACTAAACACGTCTATATTGATTGCCTTGTTTATTTTTCTCTATGTATGCAATAATGTAAACATAATTATAATTAATAAACATCATTGGGATTTAATAAAAAATAAATAAAATCAATATTACTTTTCAAAATAGTAAAAACAGTAATTTTTTCTTTAAAAAATTAATTGCTTGTGTAGTTTCTGTTTGCTTAATAGAGAAATTAGGTCCTATTGTGTATTGTGCTTATGGAGTTATTTTTAGTCCTTGGTCCCTTAATATGTTGGTAGAAAATACTCTAGTCTGAAGTTCCTTGCCAGTGAGTAGGTTTAGACTTAAGTCTTCCCTAAAGAATAATAAATTTCTGTTCCAGCACTCTTTATCTTTATACCACACTAATTTATTGTTTTCCCACTTTTATGGTTACTTTTTGATGTTTTAATATTTTTGGAAGACAGGTTTCCAAGAATCTATAATAACTAAACATAATTTTTTTTCTACATTTTTAATTTAATTTAGTTAAGTTTTTTATTCTATTAATTGATTAAAAGGGGCCTTAAACCATTTAAATATTTTATAAAGAATTAAGCAAGTACATATTATTATAGGTGTATGTATATTATTATGAAAATGTTTGTCACATTTATTGTTATAACTTTTATAAAAATGAAGCAATCTGTTTATGAAATTGTGCTGACACCCATACATTAGTTTTATCCGCAACATAGCAACTTTATAAGTTTTCTTTAGTTAGTTGGGAGTTGGATGGACTGAAAACTTAAATAAGTTGAATGATATGAAAGATGTGCAATTACCAATATCAAAATAACTTTTTAACAATTTTTTTTTAATTTGGTCAACTATTATGGTCATCGTGTTCTATGCAGGCTTTGTTAATGTTTCCCAGCACCACTTTAGGATCAGCACTGTTAATTAGAACCCAAAAGTGAATGGCCGAGTGGGGAATACTACCTATGCATTAGAATTAATATTTAATTTATTAAATTAAATAAAAATCCCTGCCACCAAAGGGATACAAACCTGACACACTTCGATCTCAAAGTCATACGGTAACATTGAGCCAACCCACCCCTCTTTTAAAGAATTAAATATAATTTTGCAATTATTTACTTATGCTTTATCAAAAAATATAGTTACCACTAGTATTATTAGTTAAAATAGTTCTTAGTTATTGTGTAGTAATTATTTTGTCAGAAAAATGTTGTAATTGTTTTATTACAATGAATAATTTTGACACTCTTTAAACAATAAACTATAAAAATGTGTATAGATTGTTAAATTGCAAAAACTTGTAAGTAGTCTATTATGGCAATGGTTTGAAATTAAAATTTAGAGCAACTTGTAACGAAATATTATTCTTATAATATTAAATATTTTAAGATGCAAAGAGTATTCAATATTGACCAGTAATACCTACATAGCATATTGTAATCTCTTCTGGAAATATATTTGGTGTTTATGTAAATGATTTAATCTTAAAATTAATCATGAAAGCAAATAAGTACACAGAGAAAATAAAACAATAGAAGAGGGTTTTAAAATAAAAAAATAATAAAAGAAAGTTTCAGGTCGGGTGATAAGAATTAAAAATAAGGAAGGATTCTTTTCAGTTCAAAAATATTATTTACTAATTTGAATATCTCTAAAATTACAATTGCTGCATTTGAATATCCACATCCAATGAATTTTTTACATCTCAAGCTTTTGTTTATTCATATCAGACATATCTGTCCTACTACATTTACATATATTCAATCACGTGAACAAAGATTCACAACATCTCAGCACAGATGCATCTGATGTGGATATTCAAACGCAGCAAATATTTATCAAAGATGTTTGTGAAATATTTTATGACCAGAGAAATGTGATTATCCATTACAGAAACAATGTTTTTGAACATGCAGATGGTATGAAAAGTAATATTTAAAACATAATAGGTCATGTTTTCTATAAAAAAAAACAAGAAGTCAAATCTGGCAAATTGAACATTCTTAACACAATCAGAAAATTTCTAAAGATGTTTTAAATCAAAATATTCTTATAGTATAATAAAATAAGGTTACAGATCAGTTTTAAATTTTATTTAGGGTGTAGTTAATTTGATTCATCTTAATACACACCTAGGTCACAACCGACTGTTAGACCTAGAGCCAGATTTATTAACAAAGAAAGTTTGTAGAAATTTAAAATAAAAATAATAGGTATACTTACAGTTGAATTTGTTGTAAAAGTTTTCCACCAGAAATTTCATTATATTTCTCTGCTGCTGGAGTCAGTTCCACTCCTTCGTTATTTTCACTAGTATGAACGCCCAAAACTAAACCTTTCTATTAAAACGTTTTTAATTAGACTTAATTTCTACGATATTGTTCATGTCTTACCCCAGAAAATCCTTTACTTGAAGAAAATCGGATAAAATTATTGATATGTGAACATAACCTAAGATATTTTGTACTGTGTGAACACAGAGCCATACTTCAAAATTAAAACAGAAACAATATTAAATCTTATTTTCAATTATTTTCAACGATAAAATAGTTCAGTTTTTATAAACAAAAAAAGTTATATACGTAAAAATAGCCTCACTCACGTTGACATAAATCCCTAAAATCAACAAAAATTGATTTTTGACATATTATATAGGTTATTTTGATTTGTAGATTTTGGTACGTTGGTACTATTGTACATGGCCTTCACTTATTTTAGACTTGAGCGATTATCCCTGCACAGGACCGTACTAAGCCACTGCGGATAGCCAATACTATTTGTATGCCTTATACGTTTTAGTTTTTCTATGCCTTATACCACTGAACACACTAAAGGGTAACTCACCTTGGCGGGAAGAGTCCGCGCATCTCAGTTGGCGCATATCAAATCGCCATTGTTTAGGGTTCCGCTACGATGCTGACAAGATTTATTATCACTCAGCGTTTCCAATTAGAGAAGTCGAGTATCGAGTGTAATCTGTTGTAATTACAACTAAAAAACACTTAGAACCAATAAGGCACATAGCCTAAATGCCTAATGCATAAGGTACTTAATAAAATAATAAAGAAAGAGTGTGCACATAGAGTGATTGAACACTTGTTTTGTGCAACTCTAAGGATTTAACAAACTTGCTTAATAATAGTTAATATTAAAAAAAAACTATAATTTTGAAATATAATTTTTTTTGTTACACTTGAAAAACGTTTAAATTTAGTGATAAGCCTAATCTCTAGTGATAGGAGATTGCGATTAATAAAATCAAACCGGCTCTGACCAGTCCGGTTGTGCTAAGCAATGAACTGGAGTGGGGTAGAACTGTAGAATGCTTGTCAATTAGGCATTCCAACGACCTGTCAAACAATAGGTGCCAATGGGAAATTATTGTATATTTAAGGGGGTAGCGACATAGTCTTGCAACTTGGACGCTATTTTTATTCGAAGTAGTACTCGCCAAGCCTGCCAATTTATGAAGAAATGTATAGGTGGGTTTTTTAAATATTCTTTTTATCGTGTTTGACATAAAATATTTAAATGTCCATTATTCATGATTTTACGTAAAGTAGATAGAATACACCATATGTCGCCACCCTTAGATATACCAAACCTGCCCACTGGTAATTCATTTGTTTGGAATGCCTAATAGACTTGATGTGCGACTCGATGGGCGCAGCCATTTTTATTGTTCATCTCACTCGGGACTATTTATAATAACCAGTTTCTATTTCAAATTGTTATTGTCTGATCCACCAGCTTGTGTTTGTACTTTTTTGTACTTAGTTACATGTTTTTTTGTTATAATATCCAAGTTAACATGGACTTTGAATATCAACTACTTTTTTCATGATTAACGTAGGTAAAGGCAATACATTATATACTACTTACGAAACATTTTCAGTTTTTATATCTATTTCTTAAAAAAGTGTGATCGTAGAAAACATGTGTGAATTTTGGGCGAAAAGTTCGTTGCCACTTTCGACAAATTGCCGCGCTCCGCTACGCGTCGCACGGGCAACTTTCTGTCTCAACAGCGGCAAATAGACCTTTTCATCATGTCAGGAGCGCAAGCGCAGCAACCATGTTGAAATAGCGGTAATTCAAAAGTTTCGTACTGTTTTGATCGACGATGGCTGGAGAAGCAATATTATCTCTACAGAAAAATTAATCATTAGAAAAAATCGTAGATGGTGATTAACTTTTTTATAACTCTGTGGAAACGCATAGTTGTGAGCATTTGAAAAGGTGGCTGAAGTGTCTTGGATTTTTGCTACAAACTAAAAAAGGGGACTGATTGAGAGGTTAGGTGTATCAATACTGCTTAACTGTGTAAAAAATTAATGAAAACAAATAATAATTGTAACTCCATTCTAATTAATTATGCCAACCAACTATTAGTACTTGCGAAAACACTTTAACATGATACTTAATCACTAGTATAATTAATAAAATAAATGATTTAATATTTTGAGGATCAATATGACATTTTTAATCATATTACTGTGTATACCGAAGTAGTATTTAATATTTAAAAAATATTGTGTAATACCAGATAAGAATTTTCTTCTGTTGGACCATTTTCTCCATGAAAATGTAGTAAACAAATATAAGTATCTTTAGTAATATCATCAATACATCGAAAACCGTTGTCACTTCGACCACATTTTTTTACACCTAATGCACATTTTGCGTTTTTTCAACATTTTTTAATATGGATTATTGGCCTGATAATTTGATATTTTTTTACGATGTTGCAGCCAAGGCTTTGGAAAATTTATGAAATAATATGTATTACCTTTGAATGATTTATGCTGTGTGTCACTTTAACATACTCCATAACAATACCGTTTCGTTTCCGTACAAATAACATAATTATAATTGATTGCAAAAATGTATTTTTCAATTAAGACACTAAACTTATTATTACTTTACTTTTTTTGCTTTTTATAAATGAATATACCTAAATTGATATTTGTCGATTATAATTTTTTTCGCGTGGGCATTTTAACATGCTTGTTAACAAAAACAGTACGGAAAAGATGGCCGATATTGACACATGCGCACGAAAAGAAATTGTGATGAAAAGGTTTATTATCACTTTTCGCTCTTAATACACAAATATCTATTATTAACTAGTCAGTATTGCTGTTATACAAGTTCTTAGGTATACAAGGTAAACATTAAAAATAAATCCTTAAAAATTATAATATTCTCGGGATCTAGAAAACATTTCGGGATTGACAATAATTTATCTATGGGATTGACATTCTTAGTCTGTCGAAAAATATGAATTTAATGCATGAGTAAAGAAGTTTTATTTTGAAAAATATCCAAAATTTTTATAAAGAAAAGTCGATTAAAATTAAAAACTACGGTTTTTCCATATTATCCATGTACTATATAAATATACTAGCTGTTGCCCGCGACTTTGTTCGCGACTTTGCTCGCATCTAGTCGTCATATTAATATAAAAAAATACGTGACTTCCTTTTTTATTAATTTTTATTAGTTTTATTGATTTTCATTCATTTTTATTAATTTTTTTTTTATATTTTTTCATTTTTATTTATTTTTAATCATTTTTAATTATTTTTATTCATTTTTATTCACTTTTATCCATTTATATTAATTTTTATTAATTTTTATTAATTTTTATTAATTTTTATTAATTTTTATTAATTTTTATTAATTTTTATTAATTTTTATTAATTTTTATTAATTTTTATTAATTTTTATTAATTTTTATTAATTTTTATTAATTTTTATTAAGTTTTATTAATTTTTATTAATTTTTATTAATTTTTATTAATTTTTATTAATTTTTATTAATTTTTATTAATTTTTATTAATTTTTATTAATTTTTATTAATTTTTATTAATTTTTATTAATTTTTATTAATTTTTATTAATTTTTATTAATTTTTATTAATTTTTATTAATTTTTATTAATTTTTATTAATTTTTATTAATTTTTATTAATTTTTATTAATTTTTATTAATTTTTATTAATTTTTATTAATTTTTATTAATTTTTATTAATTTTTATTAATTTTTATTAATTTTTATTAATTTTTATTAATTTTTATTAATTTTTATTAATTTTTATTAATTTTTATTAATTTTTATTAATTTTTATTAATTTTTATTAATTTTTATTAATTTTTATTAATTTTTATTAATTTTTATTAATTTTTATTAATTTTTATTAATTTTTATTAATTTTTATTAATTTTTATTAATTTTTATTAATTTTTATTAATTTTTATTAATTTTTATTAATTTTTATTAATTTTTATTAATTTTTATTAATTTTTATTAATTTTTATTAATTTTTATTAATTTTTATTAATTTTTACTAATTTTTATTAATTTTTATTAATTTTTATTAATTTTTATTAATTTTTATTAATTTTTATTAATTTTTATTAATTTTTATTAATTTTTATTAATTTTTATTAATTTTTATTAATTTTTATTAATTTTTATTAATTTTTATTAATTTTTATTAATTTTTATTAATTTTTATTAATTTTTATTAATTTTTATTAATTTTTATTAATTTTTATTAATTTTTATTAATTTTTATTAATTTTTATTAATTTTTATTAATTTTTATTAATTTTTATTAATTTTTAATAATTTTTATTAATTTTTATGTTTAATATTTTTTTTTAATTTTAGTATATTTTTATGATACTACCATACAAAAATCTAACCACAGAGCACGTCACTATTTATTTATGTTACAATTATGATTTTCAAGTTCCAACGTTCAAAAAATTTATACTTCTATACAAATTTTTACCCCCGTTTTCCCTTCTTAAAATGTAAAAATCCAAAAATCCTGAAACACTGTTTATTTATGATGAGAAACTACAATTCCAATTTTCAAGTTCCTACCTTTAAAAAAATCGATATCTCCAAATAAACTTTCACCCCCATTTCCCCTCCTTAAAATGTGAAAATCCAAAAACCCTAAAACACGTCATTATTAATTTGTATTCATTAGCTGCAATTCCAATTTTCATGTTTCTAACTTTAAAGAGAACCAAAAACATAGATACTCCCAAATAAATTTTCACCCCCCCCATTTCCCCCCCTTAAAATGTGAAAATCCAAAAACCCTGAAACACGTCAATAATAATTTGTAGTCAGTAGTTGCAATTCCAATTTTCATGTTTCTAACTTCAAAGAGAACAAAAAAAATCAATAGTCCCATACAAACTTTCACCCCCCGTTTTCCCCCCTTAAAATGTGAAAATCGAAAAACCCTGGAACACGTCATTATTTATTTATGCTTAGTAGCTGTAATTTAAATTTTCATGTTTCTAACTTTAAAGAACAAAGAGTTTCATTAAAAACTCCCTCCCCCCATTTCCTCCAATTTCCCCCCTTTAAAGTTAAAATTTTGAAAAATTCTTTCTTAGCGGATGCTTACGTTATAAAATGAACCTATGTTCCAAATTTCAGCTTTCTAGGCTTAGTAGTTTTGGCTGTGGGTTGATAGGTCAGTCAGTCAGTCAGTCAGTCAGGACAATTTTATATATATATATAGATATATATATATAAAAACAAATAAATAAAAATTGATATTGTTTGTTCTTGACTTAGATTTATTTTAAATATTTCAACCCCCCCTTAACCTACCCACTTTTATTCAACTTTTTTTTCACAATCAATGGGCCTCATCTCCTTCTGCAGCTTAATTTATACTAAAAATTTCATGTTGATATCGCTTTTCATTTTTGATTTATGATTTTTTTTAAATTCAACCCTCCTTAACCGCCTATTTTCAATCAGATTTTTTCAAAAACAATAGGTTTTGTTCCCTCATATAGCTTGTTTATTACTTAAAATTTTCAAGTTGATAATATTTTTCGTTTTTGACTTATCGTGCAGACAAAAACCGTGACATCGGACAAAGTAAACCACCTATAATACTCTTCACAGACTACTGCGTGAAGAGTGGAATAATAAATAATATAAACAAGGCTAAAACAATAACATAATAGCCTAAAAATAGGTACAATAAAAGAATGATAAAGGCAAAGTGTTAAAAATTATTTAATAGGAATATCAGTACTTCAGAGATAACTGCGCTTTGTCATTCTAGTCAGCTTTTTAGTAGAGCAGACTGAATGTTGGTTGGACAATGGCTAGGACATGAAATAAATTTCATTTGCATTCAGTATAATATATTTTAATATTTATTTAAATATATTTATCTATACAATACGCAATTATCTACATTTGAATTATAATTATTATTAATTATGAACATGAGATGGTAAAATTATAAATACCCATTAGGATTCAAAAATATTTCAACCAAATTATCGAAATTATCTCGAAACGTAACTGCTTCTTTGGTGAAGTAATCAGCAAAATCTTGTAAAGATCCAAATTCCGGTGAAATGCTCCTGGTGTCAGCATGTAGTCGAATTTTATTGTTCACAGTACGCTCTATGCCCAAATTGTAGCATTTGCCTTTGTATTTCAAAGTTAGTACGAGAAAATACTTTTGACTCGGTCTAAATAGAAACGCCCCATCAGGCAAATAATTAAGAAGGTTTCGCGCACCTTCTCGGTCCGTATTTCTAAAGAATTTTTGATTATGTATATTAACTGAAACAAAAATGAATAATTATTAGTACATAATCGACTACGGTAGCGTAGGTGTTTGCGAGCCAATTTTGTGGTAGTTACACACCGGGCTTCGAATCCTACAGCAGACCATGTGAATTTATTTGCATGGTTCTTTATAGGATTTGATGGATGCCATATTAGCAGAAATTTAATTTCTGTTGATATGACATCCATATTATAAAAAACGCCATGCGTTTCCGTTTTCGATGATGGTGGGTGAGTTTTTCTGGGTTTTCTTCTCCTGTAATTTGAATGGCGCCATAAATCATCTTTAAGTCGCCCCGGAGCGCCACGGAAAATAATAATAATAGCCGTCCCATCCCCTACACAAGTCGCTTCAGGGGTCGAAATTCAATCGTAATTGGGTGAATTAGGGAGAGTATTATTAATATTATAGTCCAAGAGCCAGTGACACACATTTCATTAAGTGTTTGATGCACTTTGAAATTTTGTAATTTGAAATCATTTGGATGGAAAAGCAGATATACCTGTGTTGGCTTGACCCACCCCGGGACACCAGGTACTGCGCATAATAGAAAGGGGTCGTAAAATATGACCCAAAAAAAGTGTTTGATTCACGCTCAAATTTTAATAGCGACTTAATTAAATATAAAAAAAATAATTCCAAAAGGGCATACACTTTTTCCGGGGTTTAATTGCCGGCCAACATAAAAAAGTCTTATCGCTGATCACCCTACAGCTGTATCGCCGTTCATACAAGGGAAGTGCAACCAACTTGACAAAATAAAATTGACACTAATGACATAAATCAGGTCACATAAAGAGGCTGTTTTTTAGTTTTTTAGTTTGCTTTATGGTATTTCCTTTATTTTTATTTATATTTATTTATTTTTATTTATATTTATTTATTTTTATTTATTTTTATTTATTTTTATTTATTTTTATTTATTTTTATTTATATTTATTTATTTTTATTTATTTTTATTTATTTTTATTTATTTTTATTTATTTTTATTTATTTTTATTTTATTTTTATTTATTTTTATTTATTTTTATTTATTTTTATTTATTTTTATTTATTTTTATTTATTTTTATTTATTTTTATTTATTTTTATTTATTTTTATTTATTTTTATTTATTTTTATTTATTTTTATTTATTTTTATTTATTTTTATTTATTTTTATTTATTTTTATTTATTTTTATTTATTTTTATTTATTTTTATTTATTTTTATTTATTTTTATTTATTTTTATTTATTTTTATTTATTTTTATTTATTTTTATTTATTTTTATTTATTTTTATTTATTTTTATTTATTTTTATTTATTTTTATTTATTTTTATTTATTTTTATTTATTTTTATTTATTTTTATTTATTTTTATTTATTTTTATTTATTTTTATTTATTTTTATTTATTTTTATTTATTTTTATTTATTTTTATTTATTTTTATTTATTTTTATTTATTTTTATTTATTTTTATTTATTTTTATTTATTTTTATTTATTTTTATTTATTTTTATTTATTTTTATTTATTTTTATTTATTTTTATTTATTTTTATTTATTTTTATTTATTTTTATTTATTTTTATTTATTTTTTTTTATTTTTATTTATTTTTATTTATTTTTATTTATTTTTATTTATTTTTATTTATTTTTATTTATTTTTATTTATTTTTATTTATTTTTATTTATTTTTATTTATTTTTATTTATTTTTATTTATTTTTATTTATTTTTATTTATTTTTATTTATTTTTATTTATTTTTATTTATTTTTATTTATTTTTATTTATTTTTATTTATTTTTATTTATTTTTATTTATTTTTATTTATTTTTATTTATTTTTATTTATTTTTATTTATTTTTATTTATTTTTATTTATTTTTATTTATTTTTATTTATTTTTATTTATTTTTATTTATTTTTATTTATTTTTATTTATTTTTATTTATTTTTATTTATTTTTATTTATTTTTATTTATTTTTATTTATTTTTATTTATTTTTATTTATTTTTATTTATTTATTTTTATTTATTTTTATTTATTTTTATTTATTTTTATTTATTTTTATTTATTTTTATTTATTTTTATTTATTTTTATTTATTTTTATTTATTTTTATTTATTTTTATTTATTTTTATTTATTTTTATTTATTTTTATTTATTTTTATTTATTTTTATTTATTTTTATTTATTTTTATTTATTTTTATTTATTTTTATTTATTTTATTTATTTTTATTTATTTTTATTTATTTTTATTTATTTTTATTTATTTTTATTTATTTATATTTATTTTTATTTATTTATTTTTATTTTTTTCTACCCCCTTAAAATGTGAAAATCCAAAACCCTGAAACACGTCATTATTTATTTATGATGAGTAGCTTTAATTCCAATTTTCAGGTTCCTACTTTTAAAAAATTCGATGCTCCCATCAAACTTTCTCTTCCCGTTTTCCCCCTTTAAAATTTGATATTTATAAAATCCGTTCTTAGTGAATGTCTACGTAACTGTGCCAAATTTCAAATCAATCGGGCTTATAGTTTTGGAGATCTGGTGATGAGTCAGTGAGTGGTATTTCGCTTTCATATATACAGCATGTCCGGGAAAATGTGGGAAGTTCTCTCGGATTCAGGTGGAACATTAAAAAATAAGATCCCTCAAATTTTTTTCCTAGCGGCCTCCCTACGGGGATGCGGCCTCCAAAAGGACGCCACTGGAAATCAATTTTTCTTGAATAACTTTCAAACTACGTGATTTAATGAAAATTTACTATGATAAACAGTAGTAAGAACCTCTTAAAATACTGCCCTTAAAACATAATTAGCTTGTTTAGTTTTCGAGAAAAAAAAAATGTTTTATTTTTATTAAAAAGAAACCATGATTTCCAACGGTTTATTTTATCGACAATGAAGAAGATTACATTTTCTTTAGCTTAATGTTCAAGGTATCGAAATTTATTTTTTTAACTCCTTATCATACAGGGTGTTAAAATTGTAAGCAATAAAATGTACAACCTAGTCCGCCCCTGGTAAACTAAACAAGCTAATTATGTCATCTTATTTTTTTTAATCTGGAATGACATTTATAGACATTTCCCGTCGTCTGACGGAGTTTGACATTTACCACCTCTATCTCCCATAAGCCTTTCCAACTTGTGTCCCTGCTTTACTTGGGTGATCAGTGATACATATCCGTTATCTACGATATATTTATACATATTTTATACTTACAAAGTGAACCAACATATTCTGACTCTTCTTCAGTTGTACCAACATTCATTTCCGTTTCTATTGGTTTCGCTTGCTTATGAACCGACTGGGAATTCTTAAGATTTTCATAGTATGATTGTGGAGTCGCAATAAATTCATCGTTTTCAATGTTACTGTTGGAATTGTTTCTTAAAATACTTCTAGATGGCTGCAAACTGGTTTGTTGTGGATTTCTATGGTTATCAATATTCCCATAAATATGAATATCTGCTTCATCATCATCATCATTACCATCATCATCTTCACTTCCAGAAGGCGTCTTCATCTTGGCAAAATTTCTTTTAATATGTTGTGAGGATTGGGCTTCTCTAACTTTGAGTGCTTTTGAAAGCTTTAGTGCTAGCTCGTCTTGTAGATTAAGTTTCTTATTATTTGGGATCGAAGGAGTATTAGAAGAATAGGTATTTTTATGATCCACAACGTCTAAAAACAAAACAATTATAACAGTTCTATCTAGTTATTGTCAACATATTTCTGTTTTATTCCATTGAATGGATAAATATCTTGTCTTTCAATGTCTCAAGTCTCACGTTGTTCAGAGCACTGATGTAAACGTAATCTGTTTAAAAGTAATGCCAAAGAAACAAAAAATTAAGAAGAGAAAAAATTATAAATTAGTAAAAGTGAAGGTCTAGGAAAATTTCAATAGAATATTTTGACAAAACAAAAACGAGTGTGATACTTAAAATCGAACCACACCCACCTTTAGTAATATTTTCAACACTTCTGTTTTTAAGATTTTCGTATAACGATTTTTCCATCATTTGTTCTTGCTTATTGTCAGCAAATTCAGTAATGGTTTCAGATTTTGGAACTTTCGGCAAAGGGCGGTTTTTGAAAGAATATATTTTGTCGATTCGAACTGATGGAACTTCATTTTCCATCATATGATTTTCATAATTCACCTGGTTGTTGAGCAAATTCGTTCTAGTTTTTCCTTTTTTTGAGAATAATCTAGATAGTGAACCAAATAAACTGTTCTGTCGTTTTAATTGCTCCTCGTTATTTTGAAGATCGTTAATTGTTGGTGTTGATTTAGTTTTTTGTATAGATGGGAAATCAGGTGTCGATTTAGCGGAAGATGTTTGTGGCACGTTTATTGCCTTCAAATCCTAAAAAATATATTTTCATATTAATGTGATGAAGTATTTTTTCAGGTAAAAGTTGGTTTAAAAAGCAAATAAACCATTGAATATCGTACTTTAATATATTTCCAAAAATGAAATTTTTACTATTGTAATTTTTACAGAGGAAAAAACCTTCAAGAATACTTACAAGGTAAGAAGAGAGTCTTAGACCTATACAATTAAATAAAAACTGGATTTAATAAAAAATATAAAATAAAATCATGAAAACAAAATAAAAACTGCTCGATATTAGGAACGTCATATAAAGATGTCTATACCTAAAAGTTAAAAAGCGATGAGAAAGTTGATACTGGTTTGATGAATAGTACACATATTATAAAGAAAGACAGTACATACAGTAAGCAAGAAGATAAAATATAAAAATATTCCAAAACGTAGGTATATGCAGAATGTAGACAGAAAAAAATAATAATGTGGATGCAAGAAATTGAAAAAATAGAGTGCATAGTAATAGTAATTTACGTTACAAGACCGGAAGTAGTATTTTGCAGGTCGAGACAAGCAGATTCCAGGGCGAGCCGTATGCGAGACCTGCTTTACACTAATTTTCGGTCGCGTGTTGGAATTTGAGTTTCTATGTCAGATAATTCAAAATCTGAATATATATTTTTAAATTTGCGAAAACAAGTTTGACATAAACAACAAATTAAAAATCAACGAATTGACACTTGGCAATAAATCGAAAAGTTGTTACCATAGTAACGAAATTAAGGCAGACTGTATTATTATCAAACAGAGATCGGAAAAATCAAAAACAGGAACCGGTAAAAGCTTTTACCGGTCCCTAACGTCTACTTTACGTTATTTTCTGAACTAAAAATTGTTCAGAAAGTGTATACTTTCTGGTCGGTCTTAAAAAAAAGCATTTATTGGTTGGTCCCTAACGTCTACTTTTCCGGTCTTGATAGGCAAAACATTATTTTCTGAACGAAAAATTGTTCAGAAAGTGTATACTTTCTTGTCAGTCTTTAAAAAAAGAATAAATAAAAAAACAGTAAAACACAAAAAAGGAGAGACTGTGGATATGAAATCCAAGGATAGAAGGCAACTTTAAACGAACCGTTGAATCAACGAAGACGAACAAAACATCAATTGAGAAAGAGTACAAGGTAGAAGAGGTGGTCTAATCAAGAAATAGAAGAATTTTTAAGAAGAAAGAAAATTATACATAAATATAGGGTTACGGTCGAAATTATTTGTTCCAACCTTTTCTTCGAAACAATATTGTTTGAAAGTTATTTATCTCGAACACATTTCATTTGAAAATAATTTTCTTCGAATTCTTTTTTAATCGAAAATATTTTGTTCGAATATCTTATTGCTTGAAAAAATTTATCACGGACTTTTGATCAAAAAACATTACATCGAAAACATATTGTCGACAACATTTTCACATGATATCAAATGGCTAAATCTAAAGGTAAAATATATTAAAGAACATAGAAATATTTTCCAATTATTCTAAGTAAAATTAAAAAACACAAGCAATTTATCTAACCTGCACGGCTCGGATCCTTCGCTGGTTGCTTCGCAATTTTTTTTTATATAAAATGAGAATAATAAATAAAAAACTAGACTAATTTACCTAACCTGTGCGGCCTGGAGCCAATAACTTTTTTCCAAAACAACTTTGACACAGATAAAATTTGCATTCAATAAGTTACCATCTGAATTCATGCGTAGATATCTGCGATACCGTAAAGTTGGTTTACTTTGCACGTATCCGGGTAACTTTGCACCAATGCTGTAAAAGTACGCTTCTGTCAATCACGTCCTTTCCAATGAAGTGGAGATGGGTAGAATGATAACTGTCAATGAAAAAGTATAGACACTATGCACACTTCGTTTTGCACATTTTGCAAACAAGATTCAGGGACGTTTAAGAACATTTTGTGCAACAATTATAAAATAGTGCATCGGAAAATAATTAAAAAGTATAATTTAATACTAAATCGAAATCAGAGCACACAAAATCTCAAATATAAGCAAGCTAATAAAGAACCGACACCAAAAAAGCTTACAACCACAGTACAAACAAAAAACAAAGCTGAACATGAACATAATGACTGAAATTGTTTATTGTGTCTTAGGGCAACCTCTCCTTGGAAGGTTGAATCATGCACAATTTCTACACTCGTCATGATTGCGCAGACGGTATGTTATCACTCTACCCTCTCTACTTCTTTGGTCCTTTCTTTTATTTTGTTGATTCCGCAACCCCGCCCACCGATACACTTCCGGGGACCTATTTTCAAACCGTGTGAGTACTCATTTCTCTCAAGATTCTCATCAGAAATGTCATACGTCAATGTGGAAACGCTGTTTTTAAAGGCCTCGAGGATTAAAATTCTTAGGAGGATATTAATTATCTCTAAATAAACCGTGAGAAACAATCAGTGAGTTTACACTGGCCCTTAGGACCCTAAAAATACTGTTTTACGTTGACGTATGACATTTCTCTCGAGAGAAATGAATTCTCTCGACTTTGAAAATAGCACCCCTGTACTCGCGTATCGGCGACAACACTAATCATTTGTAGTGCGCATGTCATACGCGTTTTATTTGTATATCGGTCTCCTTTTGACAGAGTAGGTGAGCTGTGTTCAGGCCGGTCGGCGTAGCCAGGTATGGATTAAAATTTTCTACGAGAAGTCGTCGCTTCGTCTTCTTGTTGTCACGGCATTATTATTATTATTTGTTCATGTATGTGAAATTTGCTTCTAAGGTTTATAAAATACTACTGCTAGTCATAGCGTAAATGACAACAAACAAGACGCATTCACACAAACACCTTCCACCACAGCAATTACAAATGATTAGTGTTGTCCCCGATACGCGAGTCACTTCACACTTCAGTACGTCATGCCCACGGTTCGTAGACACTACGGAGTCTTCGTTTTTTCGATTTTTCAATTTTCGATTATCGATTATCGATTTTTCGATTTAAAAACCAAAAAGAGGCGTTTTTATTTATTTTCATTTCGTCACTGGAGACATAATCAACTTTTCTCGTAATCAGTTGCATAATGTTCTACTTTATGCAACTGGTTGCAAAAAGTAGATTGTTTTGACACTTGCTAGGATTACAAAATATGTTACTTTATATGTCAAAATTAGAAAAATTATTATATTTATTGCACTCATCTGTCATTTTACTACAGCGTTTTATGATCATAAAAACATAAATATTCAAATCGACGCCAAATATTTAGTCCATTTTCATTTTCTGTAAGATTGTATTACGTTTTAAAAAATATTAATATTGAAAATTGTACATTTACTTTTAATATTAGTGGCAAAAACAACGTTTAAGCTTAATTATTGTTCATAACACAGTTGTTCCTAAATTTTTGGTTAAATTATTTTTCTTAACATAGTTATAGTACTTTTTCAATGTTAATCGATGCTAATTATTAGTTATTAAATATTTTGCTATTAAATTACGCTTTTTATTCTTCTGCACTTAGTGTCGCCTAAATAAAACATTTTTTGGTTTTTGCATGAACGTAGAAAAAATATTGTATGCAACTCGTGCAAAAAGTGATTATTGCACTCGACGTGTTGTCCACAATTTCACGTCGCGTGCAATAAACACTTATTTTTTGCACTTGTTGCATAAATAACTATTTAGGAATATTTAGTTATTATTAAGAAATGTGAGTCAAAAAAGTGATGCAAAATATCCCCACTTTACGGTACTCCGAAAGTCAAAAGATAATACAAGAAAAAATCGTCGCATTCAATCATTCGTAGAAGTATTTAATATGTCCTATTTAAAAATGAGCAAATTGAGCAATACTTGAGAAATATGGCATTTTTAATTTAATTTATCTTTTTTTGTATATTTAAATGTTTAATAATTTTTAAAAATATAACCAGTTTTTTAACTTATCTAAGTTTGGATGCATTCTAGTATAATTTTAAATGTTTCTCTTTTTTCAGTTAGTTTTATTTCGATAAAAAATATTTACCAGATCAGAAGAAGCTATTTTTTTAATATATTAGATCAAAAACCCTATTTTGGACTTATGCCCTTTCAAGCGCTGACCTCAGAAAATATTATTTCCAACATAATTCCTTCTAACTACATGTCTAACACGTTTTCGAAGTAAATAACTTTCGAACAAAATGTTTTCGAAGAAAATTCCTTCGAAAAAAAGATCGAACAAATATTTTTAAATAAAATACCACGACCCATAAAAATAATACTTGTGTGAACATAGAAAAGAGTAGCAGAATAAATATTCTTTTAAATTTTCATCGGAGCGTACCCTTCACACATCATTGTTATATTGCTCACGCATTTTTAACCTTACTAGCAAATTCAAGACCCGCCATGAAGGGGATCAACAAAACCATGAGAAGACTAATTAATTTAAAGACAGTATTTAATTACCAAATATCCGTCTACCATTTTTGTATTATTTCTGTTTTTCACTTTTTTATTTAGAGGCAGCAAATCATCATTATTATCAGAGTCAAATTCACTGTCACTAAACTCGCGTCTTACATCTTCTAACGATACAGACTGCCTGATGTCCTTTTGCTCTTTTGGTACAGGAATTGGTGGTCTACCTGTAACTGGTGATTTTTTAAGACCGACTGTTTCATTATTACTTGGTGGAGGTGGTGGAAATTTTCTTTGAGAACTTGGGGGCATTTTTATTAAATTTTCAGTTGAAGAAGAATATTTATTTCGACTGGTTTTTGGTTCATCATTTGAATGCTGTGTATTTATTATTGACATACCATTAATCTTTTTATTAATACTTTTATTTATCATTTTGGCCACATTAGATTTAATATAACCATCAGTTTCTAGTTCATTTGAAGTAAGATATCCGTAATCCTCACTTCCTTTTAATTGTACTACATTTTCATATTCAACATTTGATAAAGAATCTTCTTCAGTATCTTGAGGTATTGGTACCGGCCTTGTTGATCTTGGCAAGTAATGGTCGGGAACATTTGACGGCGTTGGACTGGGTGAAGAGTTAGTGCTATAAATCATCCCAAGTTTGAGTTTAAATTCATTTTGTTCTGAGGTTTTTTTCGGGGGCAGTCTTGGTGATTTTGGTATAACGGGTGAAGGTAATGCAGGTTTATTTAATTTTGTAACTGGTTTTTTTAAAATTATGAAAGGGTTCTCTTTAACTTCTGCTATGAAACTAAAGAGGCCTTTCTTTTGGGGGACTGATAATCTCCATAATCCGGTTTGACATTCAGAAAGTTCCTAAAAAAATATATATTCATTAATTAAGTCACTTTTGTTCGTTTTTTTTTGAATGGTGGTTAATAATTGTAGAAAAAGACCTAAAATTTCCCATAGGAATACCAGATACGTTAATTAACCGACACCCCTCCTTCATATTTTTAAAAAAATACCGCGTGTTTCATTTACATATATAGTTTATTTGAAAATGTCAAATATAGGTGTTGTAGCTCGAAATATGGGAATACTCTATATTTAATTAAAAAGTTAAAATCTGTAAATTTTGCATCTTCGAAATTATTTATTTAGATGCCTTAAACAGTATTATTAAATATATTTGAATTTTATTGCATTAAAGCTATACGGACAATTTTTTTTTTAAATAGCACCTTTAAAGTTGCATAAACTAAAAATATGCCATATACTTTCATCAAATAAGTGGCAGCTGGAACTAATCCAAAATATTTTTCACCACTTCAAAATGGCGGTTACGTGGCAGCCACCTAGTGTTTGCCACTATAAAGTTATTATTTACATTGTTGCCAGATCAGCCATTTCTCCACTTATTTCAGAGTTTTTGAATTGTTCAATAAGGCCGATGTCAGGGGGAAAATTAAATTTACCTTAAATTACAAATGTGTCATCCATCAACCTAGATCAAGGTAATGTAAATTTAAAGCAATTTTAATCTTGAATAGCGTAAAACGGCTTAATCAAATATTAAGGTACAGTATATTTGGAATCGCCATAGTAAAAAATATATAGGGTTCCCATTTTAACTAGGTTGATACTTGTTAGTTACCTTTATGTTACCTTGTAATAAACGTTTTAAGTGCCGTTCTAAAAATAACTGAACACCCTGTACAAATATAGTGTAAATTCAAGAAGATTATGGGAAAAATTTGTATACCATATCTTCTCAGAGAAATTGCGCTCTGATGATATTGCAACACTGTATTAGTTGTATTATTTCATATAACCTCAAAATTTACAGTATAAATTTGTTTATGTCATAGATCACTTAAATGTATGTATTTAATGTTTTATATTGTGTTTGTGTGCACACCTTAGATTTATATATGAGTTTTAAAATTGTATCGACTCAAGAAAAGAGGGGTGTTTGTTTCTGTTTACATTTTTTCTGTTCCGACAATAGCTGCTTGTTCACTACAGAGTAATAACGTTTAAGAGTTTTGGTACTATTCATTTGTTGTTTAAGTTGTCTATAAAAGGTTGCCGAATGTCGAAAAGTAATCTTTTTGCAAGTCTTCTTGTTGTTTCCCATTATACACACAAATGCATTCTAGATAAGTCTAAAAACAAAGTAATTTGCTCACAGATAGACGACACTTTGGTAGTTTTTTCTTTATTGTAAAGGCGAACAATGTAGAAAGCAGGCCACTAATAGGCAACGGTTACTTCATTGTGTGAATTTTAAAGGTAATAGTTACTTTGAAGTGGCTTTTGGAGCGTGGCAAAAACGTGGCAAGAACTACTGCAGTTATACAATCAAGTGCCGCCACTTTAAAGATATATTTATCGTTCCCGAAACGTTACTAAAACTATCAAACCCACTTTAAGATTACTGCCACTTCTAGGTGGTATTTAAGTGATATGATTTGGTGGCCGTAACTACTATTTTCCACATTCAAGTTTGTGCAACTTTAGAGGCAACTAAATAATGTAAAACTTTGAAGTGATTCCCAGTGGTGAAATACACGTGGCTACAACTGGGAAAATATAAAATGAAGTTATTCTCATTACTACGGGGTATATTTAGTGATTATAATGTAATAGACACTTAATCGAAGTGGCGATATAAGTTTTTGTCACGATAATGCCACATGGGCAGTTTTTATGGCAAAGGTCTACATACAGAATTGTTCAAAGCAGAAAAAAGTAAATATTGATACATTCTTATCTGAATTTTCACTAGATTTTAATATGACCACCCCGAAAAATCTCGAATACAATACATCATAAAATGTAAATGAGCAAACCCTAAGGGATTAACCAATAACTCTATACTTCAGTGACGAGGAACACGAAATTACTTTAATATAAAAAATAATAAACTATCATTAGTCAGTACCAACATTTATTTTTTTAAAAATAGTATACTAGTTATTAGGTTAGGACATTTCTTTAAAATTTAATAAAAAATATATACACAACCAAATTTATATGATATTGTTACACGAAAGCCGTCTCTGTTCCTTGTTTACTCCTTGCCAGCGGTATGAAGTCTAGCGCTGGTCATATAGAGACAAACGCACCGCTTCGAAAAACTGTCGGAGTGATCTCTTTGCGGCGTATGAGTCATAGAGAGGCAGTTCTCAATCGTTGTGGAAAGCCGAGAGTATTCTAGTAGTATATAAATAGCGTGAGTTGTTAGACAGTGTTGGACAGTAAAAACAAATTGTAATAAATAAATTAGAATTGCGAGTTATGTTATAATATAATAGTGCCTAAGTATTATATAAATTAATTAGTACGTTATAAATAAAGTGTTTTAAATAAATGAACTATAAATAAATTAAACAAACGTTACATTTGTTTTAGACGTGGAACTGTAAATAAATAGTGGGCAAAAATGGTTAAAAAACTATGTGATTTAAAAGTCGAGAGGTAGAAGAACGTGAACTGGAGACGACAGGGAAGAAATCAGAGCTGACAGAACGACTTAAAAAAGCACTAGAAAATGAAGGTTTGGATTCGGAAACATTTCTATTTTCGGATGATGCGCCTTCTATAATTTCTTCGTTAGAAACTAAAATGTCTTCTTTAAAAACCGATATTTTTTCTGATGTTTCCTCTATTAAAAATGATATTTCCTCCTTAGAAACCAAAGTTTCTTCTGCCATTTTTTCCTTGGACAATAAAGTTTCTTCATTGGAGGATAAAGTCTCTTCCGATATATTTTAAAAGATGAAATTTCTTCCGACTTGAAAAACAAAATGTCTTCTATGAAAAATAAATGTTCGTCTAATATTTCTTCCTTAGAAGAAAAGGTGTCTTCCGAAATGTCTTTAACTCCATGTTCTTTTGCTATTTCATCTACACTATACTTCTTAAATTTTGGTGAATGTTTTTTTACATAAATGCAATAGCTCTTTTTTGAGTAATACTTTTTCTGTCACTATTTCTTTGGTTATTAACCAATCGGGGAATTCTTGCTTTTTTCCATTTAGTGTTAGGTAAATGCCTGACGAGCATTTGTAACCTGTTTATCTCGCCAAACTTTACAAAATTTATCCCTGTTTCATCCAAATAAAAAATATTTGTGTTTTATCTTCTTAATTTTCTAATTTCCCTAAATTATTGCCTCCTCCAACAAATAATTTCATCTTTCTCTATAAGCGCAGATTTTCTATCGTTCTTCTCCCAAACGAAGTCTAATTTATGTAAAGTTTTCCACAATTTGTCTCTTTTAACGTTTGGCAAAGTTTCGTCTCCATTAATGTCTACTAAACTAAAAGTTTATCATCAAATAGGTATCTTTTTTTGTAAATAAAACGAATGCACTTTTATTCGGATCAGTTGTTTCATAGTACCGTCTATTTGAATGGGTTTTCTCCCAGTTGACGTTTTAGGTGCTACTGTAATACTTTAATCCTTTCGTTGCTTCGAAAGTTTATAAATGGTTGCTTCTCCAACTTCGGTCATATTTGATCACAAACTATACTCCGGACAGTACTATTGAAATGTTCATGTACAAGAGCGTCATTTATATGTAACACTAAAGTTTTCATATGCACGGTTAAATTGCACTTTAATTTCACAGGAGTATAATTAGATGTTTGTGCTATTTTTATTACATAAATTCACTTGATCAATATCGCTTTTTGTCGCCTATTATTACAGAACTAACAATTCTGCGTGTTACAATCACAGGACTATACAAACAGAAATGTAAATCTTAACTGAAATAATTTACAATCTGCATAACACTTTCTGCCGATTAGAAATTTTAATCCTTTCTAAGAAAGGTGGGCTACTTAAATTGATCTCAAATTGTAAATAATGCTAAACATTTTAGTTTAGAAATTCTCCTTCACTGATTTATGATTTTATATTGGGGTTTATCTCCTGGGTCATAAAAATTTTCATTTTAAAATAAACTATAGGTATGTTTGAAGTTAAGAGAAGTAAGAATTAATAAATATTTTTACATATGTTGCCTTTACTCATTTATTTAGGATTTAGGATATATTTTTATTGTATAACAACTTTGTATTGTCAAAGATATTTTATTCAAAAACTACAGTTTTGATATATAGCGCTTATTTAGAAAACTCTATACATTTCAAAATAATTTCCACCAATAAACCGATACACACCTCCCTACTATAGAGATTTAACCGAAGATTTACTTTTGACCTTTTGATACATTATAGAAATGTCTGTTTTATTCTTAGCGATTAATAAAAAAATAACGTTTTTCGTACTTACTAAAAGTCTTTGTCCATTGATATTTCTGTTGCTGATAATGTTTGCAATACCTTGGTAACCATTCTACAAAAAAATATATATAAATAATTCATGAATATAGCAAACAGGCACATACTGTGCGCTCCAAATGTATAGAATAAATTCATTACTACAAAAAATACCGGCTTGCCGAGACTCATCAAAACAACTAGTGGCGTAGATGCAGAAGGCGGTAGTCCTTGGGTCGCGTCGTCTTTTGAGGCAATTGAATTTGGCCGAAGATCACTGATCGAGCGGATGTAAGGAGTGATCTTCTCAGCGACCAAGCCTTTCGCGTAATGTGTCGGAGCCCCAGGAACGTTGCGACGAATTTTTTACACATAATAATAATAATAATAATAATAATAATAATAATAATAATAATAATAATAATAATAATAATAATAATAATAATAATAATAATAATAATAATAATAATAATAATAATAATAATAATAATAATAATAATAATAATAATAATAATAATAATAATAATAATAATAATAATAATAATAATAATAATAATAATAATAATAATAATAATAATAATAATAATAATAATAATAATAATAATAATAATAATAATAATAATAATAATAATAATAATAATAATAATACTACTATCCCTATAATCCCTATAATTCACCCCACAGGTGATTTTTAACCACTTATGCTGACTGAGATTTCGTGGGTAATGGACCGCTATTATTATCATTTTTTGTCGTGGCGCTCCGGAGTAACTTACAGATGATTCATGGTACGCCATTTGATTTACAGGTGAGGAAAACCCGAAAAAACTCAATTAATAGCATCGAATCGGTAACATACGCCGATTTTTAATCTGTATGTCATACCAACAGAAATTAAATTACGTACTGCTAATACGGCAACAATGAAATTCTACAACGAAACTACAAATTAATTTAACATTTACATGGTATTGGTCCAGGATCTGACTTGATAAACACTAGAAAATATAAACATGGGGTCGCCACACGAAGGCGAGAAGAGTGAAAGAGAACTTTATAAACTCACAATGTGTGTAGGATTCTCAAGAGAAGTGGTACAAAATAAATAATTGTTTTCTAGTTTTAAGTTTTAATGCTACATATGGTGTGACAAAACTACAGAAAATACATTTTTTAGGGGACAAATTTGACATTCATTTTATGAATAAATTTGTCTTGAGGTAGGCAGGCATAGCAGTTATAGTTTTTACCTTCGAGAAATTACTACTGGTGCATATTTTTAGTTGCATTCTAATTGTGATAACAAGGTATACATTTCTGGTGTAGGTACTTACTTGGTTTAATAATCCTAATAACTGATCCTCATCCAAAAGTCGCACTTTGTTTAGAGCCATTATCGATACTTTCTAATAAATATTAAAACACTAATAATTTCATTACATCAAACAGAATTTCATCACAGAAGCTATACAAAACCGATTTTAAATCAAAAATAACATCATGCAATAAGTCGGGTCAAGCATATCTAGGAAAATAATTTCTTAATGGTAAAACCACACACAAAAACAGTTATCTCGAACTAAAAGGAAACCACATGATCTCCGTCATTTTATTTCCTTTAATTAGTAACAACATTTTTTATTGGATTTCACGTCTTTATTAAATATCGGTACCTACACATTCTTAAAAAAGAAAAATGAAAAAATGTATATAAATTACTAGGAATTGATTGTGAATTATTATGAAAAATAAAACACCATAACATAAATTGTAATATAGTTAAATTAAGACAGAATTCTACATCTCTTATTGTCCCCACTTCGATCACCTTTAGCTGCCTTCTTCCTGCCGTCCCTCCTTTGCCCTCAACTTTTTTCCTTAATTTACCTCTAGTTCTAGAGGTAAAAATAAACTAGGAATTAAAGCAGACTGGCAGAGATGAAAGCGACAGAGAGTTCGTCCTTACTCTGCCTCTAGCTTCATCCTACAGTCCATCAGGCAGATTCCCATTTACAATTCGATATCGAAATACTCGATTTCGTCAGTTTGGTGAATTCCGATTTGCGGGAAATCATATTTGCATCGACTTAAACGATTGCGAGTCACTCGCCAGCTCTATGGTGCCGAATTGCTCGATTTCGGTAGATTATTGAGGTTATAGCATAGCATGTGGTTGTAGCCTTATAGCGGTTATAGAGAAAGAAACAGGTGAATCAAAGTTTGGCTTAAACTTATGTTGTACGAAAGTCCAATATCTCGTTGGTATGATTCAGTTGCAAAAAAACGTAATGCAGCAAAAAACTTTATGAAATTTGGCAGAGAATTGTTGTAGACTCTTTCTACAAGGTGGGGCTGTTTAGTATCAAATAGATACCTAGCGGCTTTTCTGTTCAATCTGTAAAATTCAATAAATCGCTCTTCCGGAAGCTCAAATGAAATGCTGTGGTACCTGAGTAGACGCTTTTGTAAAACGAGGGCTTTGTTTTACTCCCTGTATCTTATTTGTTGTATTTGGTTTTTAAAAATTGGTAGCATACTTGCGTGGCTATTTATTATAATTCACTTTCGAACAAAAATACCAATAAAAATAAATACCAAATACCGTTGATTTGTTTACATATATCAACTATCAATTAAAACACGTATTGCGCATGCTCGCTATGAATACTACGAGTTTCGGAATCGACCAAAACGCAGGGCAACTCGATAGTGAATAGGAATAGCAAATTTCTCGATATCGTATTTGGTTGCGAGTATCGAAAGCGATTCGATTTCGCATTTCGCACTGATTTGGAATCCATATGCATAATACACTTAAGGCGCAACACACAAGCATTTCCATAATATATGCATCAGAGATATTTCAAATACACCTACAATAATAATAATAATAATAATAATAATAATAATAATAATAATAATAATAATAATAATAATAATAATAATAATAATAATAATAATAATAATAATAATAATAATAATAATAATAATAATAATAATAATAATAATAATAATAATAATAATAATAATAATAATAATAATAATAATAATAATAATAATAATAATAATAATAATAATAATAATAATAATAATAATAATAATAATAATAATAATAATAATAATAATAATAATAATAATAATAATAATAATAATAATAATAATAATAATAATAATAATAATAATAATAATAATAATAATAATAATAATAATAATAATAATAATAATAATAATAATAATAATAATAATAATAATAATAATAATAATAATAATAATAATAATAATAATAATAATAATAATAATAATAATAATAATAATAATAATAATAATAATAATAATAATAATAATAATAATAATAATAATAATAATAATAATAATAATAATAATAATAATAATAATAATAATAATAATAATAATAATAATAATAATAATAATAATAATAATAATAATAATAATAATAATAATAATAATAATAATAATAATAATAATAATAATAATAATAATAATAATAATAATAATAATAATAATAATAATAATAATAATAATAATAATAATAATAATAATAATAATAATAATAATAATAATAATAATAATAATAATAATAATAATAATAATAATAATAATAATAATAATAATAATAATAATAATAATAATCTGGTGTGGAGTTGCCAATCTCCCATCCAGCGCGTCCCCGGGTGGTGGATAGGGGAATGCTTCCCATTTATGGGTGGTACCGGTCAAATGAAATAGCTGGCGCGAACCAAAATTGGCACTAAGGAGTAAACCTTGGAAAAAATCTCCCAACGCTAAGCTGTAGACCGCGGCGAGGGTGTGCATGACTCCGGGAAAGAGGAGCCACAAACGGTCCCCCGGCATCATGGCGAGGGTGTGCGGGATGTAGGCTATTTATAGCAAGGCCTTGCCGTAGTAAGGGAGCACTGCTGCGGTGGACGTTTAGTTCTGCCCTACTCGTGGGAATAATATGTCATCCAATGATAAAAACCTTAAACCTCCGGAGGTGCCTCCCTCCAAAAACAGAGACAACATTATAACGAATCAGGAGACGACGGTTCCGCCTCGGTTTTTGATCGTTAAAAGAAAAGAAGGAGATTTTTCAACCACAAATCCCTTTTTAATTCAGAAATATTTGTACGGAAAAGTAGGTCAAGTAAAAAATGTTCGAAAAATTAGAGATGGTTTGTTAATTGAAACTAGCAGTGCAGCACAGTCAAGGCAAATATCCCAACTAAAAAATTTATTGGAATTCGAAATCGAAGTTACAGCACATTCTACACTTAATAATGCTAAAGGTGTAATAAATTGTAGAGATCTGTTGAATTGTACGGAGCAAGAAATCCTTGAGGAACTAAAAGAACAAGGTGTTATAGATGTAAGACGAATTAAAACAAAAAAAGACGGCAAACTCGTAGATACTCCGATCCACATTTTAACATTCAATGTACCCAAGTTGCCACAACAAGTAAAGGCTGCATTTTACAATCTTAGAGTTCGTCAATTTATTCCATCTCCTTTACGATGCTTTAAATGCCAGGGTTTTGGCCACACCTCAACAAGATGCGTTAAAGAACAAATCTGTGTATGTGGAAAATCACTCCATATGGGCAACCCATGCCAACCACCAGTAAAGTGTGTTAACTGCAAAGGAGATCATTCGGCAAGATCAAAAGACTGTCCAATTTATAAACAGGAAGTTGCGATACAAGAAATCAAAGCAAAAGAAAACATATCCTATACTGATGCCAAAAAGAAAGTTCTTGTACACACGCCGAAACCAAATATTTCTTATGCTCGAGCTATTGCCCCTCCGATTGTACATAGTCCCACTATTAATACCGAAGAATTGGTAAAAAAATTAATCCCTCACTTAGTTAGTGCACTCAGCGCTTTCTATATTCCCCCACCTCAACTCCCACAACCCAAGATGCTACCTCCACCCCAACTCCCACAACCCACCATGCTACCTCCACCCCAACTCCCACAACCCACCATGTCACCTCCATCCCAAAAAATAACTGTACCGGACCCTAACTCCCCGATACAAAAACGGTATAGAACTGATAGTTCAGATTCCGAATCTATAACCAGCAAGCCTGGTTCATCAACAAAAAAACCAAAACCTCGTAAAAAACCTAAACGAGGTTGGAAAAAAGGAAGACCTAGGAAAAAGAAAGATCCTGACACAGATGAGGATTCTAGTGAAATTCAGGAAACTCCATCGCTGTCTGAAGCGATGGATGATCACGTAGATCCAAAACCCTAAACTTACCTGTTTGTTGTCCTTCATTGTTTAAATATTTTATATTTTATTTACTGTATATTTTTAAATCTTTACATTTTATTTATACGCCATATTTTTTATTTATACACTTTATGCCAGGTATTTATTACATATTCAAACATTTATTTCACTAAGATTTATTACGCTTTTTGAAAATCTAATATTCTGTTTATTACTTACTTTATTACAAAAATCGTTATGAACAATACAAAAAACAAAATTCTACAGTGGAACTGTAATGGTTTATTAAACAATCTTAGCGAATTACAAATTATGAAAAACGAACATTTACCATTTATTATAGCACTCCAGGAAACTCATTTAAAACCAATGGAATCATTCCGCCTGAGAGGCTACCAATGTTTCCGTAAAGACATTTTTCCGATCCATAGAGCAAGAGGAGGAGTAGCAACCTTCATCCGTAGTAGTTTTCCTGCAAAAGAAATTAGGTTAATAACAGACCTTCAGGCCAATGCTGTTCAAATAGAATCACCATTAAAATTAACTATATGTAACATATACTTACCCGACAATAACTGGCAAACTCACAACATTCTGGATATCACCAATCAGTTACCCAAACCCTTTATTATCTTAGGTGATTTTAATGCTCACTCTCCTGCATGGGGATCTCCTAATTTAGATTCCAGAGGTCGCCGTGTTGAATCTGTAATTCAAGATACAAATTTAATAATATTAAATAACGGAAAACCGACATATTTCAATACAAGATCTGGCCACTCGTCAATTGACCTTAGTATCTGCTCTCCCCAACTGGCCCCGAAATTGTCATGGGACACACTAGAAGATCTTCATTCAAGTGACCACTTTCCTATAATCATACTTATCGACTCTTCATGTAAACAGTTTTTAATTAAAGAAAAATGGTTATCAAAAAAGGCTGACTGGTACAAATTCACGAATTTAGTAAAAATCCCGGAAAGTTCTCTAGATATCGAACAAGACGTGAATGCTTATACCAAGGCAATTATTGATGCTGCAAAAGTTTCCATTCCAATGACGAAACCCTCAAAATCACATCGTCCTGTTCCCTGGTGGAACGATAACATCAAAAGAGCTATTGAAAAAAGAAATAAAGCCTACAACAGATTTAAACGTTTTCCTACCCAAGATAATCTAATCGACTTCAAAAAATCCAGGGCCGTTGCAAAAAGGCAGATCAACTCGGCAAAAAAAGCATCTTGGGAAGAGTTTGTCTCCACTATTACGCCCGACGTGGGACTCGACACTATCTGGAGAAAGATCAAAATCATAACCGGTAAAAATACGTACGTCGTCCCTGAATCACTGATCCTGAATAATCAGATAATAACGGACATCTTTGAAATCAGTGAAATATTCGCAAATCACTTTGAAATGAGCAGCAATTCTAGTATCTACGAGGATAACTTTTTAAATAATAAAATACACGAGGAAAGTAATCCTCTTGATTTCTCTACCAATAGAAACGATAACTACAATCTACCTTTTACCATTGATGAACTAGAATTTGCCCTTAGTAAATGCTCAGAGTCCGCCGCAGGTCATGATAACGTATTATATGGTATGTTAAAACATCTTTCAATCGTCGAAAAATCTAAAATACTCTCCCTTTTCAATAGAATATGGGATTCCGGTAGTTTTCCTAGCCAATGGAAGACTGCCGCGATTATTCCTATTCTAAAACCGGAAAAATCTCCCTCAGACCCCAACAACTACCGACCAATATCGCTGACAAGCTGTCTTGGTAAAACACTAGAAAAAATGATTAACCTTCGTCTCACCTGGTGGCTGGAAGCAAATTCACTTCTATCATCAGCTCAGGTTGGTTGCCGTAGCAATTTTTCAACAGTTGACGCTCTTGTACATCTCGAAAGTGAAATACAAGATGCATTTTATAAAAGAGAACACTTGGTAGCTGTATGTTTTGATATGCATAAAGCTTATGATAGAACATGGCGTCACTCCATCCTAAAACAATTACACAATTGGGGCCTCAGAGGTAAGTTACCAACACTACTTGAGAATTTTTTAAAGGATAGGTTTTTTCATGTAAGAATAGGATCCGTAGAATCCTCTACCAGACCACTTGAGAATGGAATCCCACAAGGTTCGGTCCTGAGCGTGTCGCTATTTGCGATAGCTATTAATTTTCTCCTTGAAATAGGAAATAGAGAAGTCAGTAAAATCCTTTATGTTGACGATCTAATCATTTCATTCAAAGATAGATCAATGGAAAATATCAATCAACAACTTAACAATGAAATAAGTATTTTAACTGAGTCAGCAAACTTACGAGGTTTTCTTTTTTCAAAGGAGAAAACAAAATGCATTCATTTCTGTAGACTCAGAACAGATCATCCAGAACCCGAACTTCGAATGCAGGATCACAATATCACAGTGAAAGATTTTGCACTGATTTTGGGAATGGTTTTTGACAAAAAATTGTATTGGGCAGAACATATCACTCAACTTAGAGCAAGATGCCAAAAAGCCCTTAATGTCATGAAGTGCTTGGCCAGCCTACGATGGGGAGCTGACAGAGAGACCCTGCTAAATATTTACCAATCTTTAGTCCAATCTAGACTTGACTACGGTAATATAGTATATGGATCTGCTAGACCATCTCGTTTAAGGGTCCTGGACACAATCCAAAACTCAGCGATTAGACTGGCAACAGGAGCATTCAGAACAAGCCCAATAGGTGCCATCCTAAGTGAGGCATCCATCATGCCACTTACACTTCGTAGAGAATTGCAGACAATTACATACGCTGTCAAAGTCCAAACTTTAGGAAATAGTTTAAACTATGAGACCTTCAGTAGCACTGAAAATACCTACTCCCAGCGACCTACCGTTTCGCGTCCTTCTAGTATTCGTTTTATAGAACTGTCTGATAAATATGATACCCCAAAAAAAGCAAACATTATTCTCAACAACTACCAAATTGCTCCATGGATAAGAAAAACTCCGCAAGTAAATCTTGCACTAACCAAATGGAAGAAGGAAAATACATCCCCATCTATCTACCGTAACCTATTCCAAGAAGAATTATCCAAGTATAATCAGTACCTTATAATATATACAGATGGATCAAAAACCACTGACGGCATAGGAGCAGCGATTGTTACTAATAACAACCCATACTTATGGTCAATGAACCCATATAGCAGCATTTTCAGTGCAGAACTGTACGCCATATGGCAAGCGTTACTATTTTTCATGTTTGAGACAAATAACAAATGCTTAATTTGCACGGACTCGTTAAGTGCCGCCCTTTCTTTAAATAATCGCTTTTCATCGAGTGCGTGGGTAAAGAAAATACAAGAAATGGTTACATACCTCGATTCCGTTGGGAAATCCACAACAATTATTTGGATCCCTGGTCACTGCAATATTCAAGGCAATGAGTTAGCCGACTCCGCTGCTAAGAAAGCAACGCAAAACACGGTAGACGAAGGAATTCCAGTCTCTCTATGTGACCTAAAAATATACATAAAAGAAAAAGTTAATAATATGTGGCAAATACAATGGGACAGCTATGATACGCAATTAAAAACAATCAAACCAACTAACGTTAAATGGGACTATCCTACTAACCTCACTCGAAGAGAAAAAACTGTTCTGTGCAGAATGAGGATAGGACATACAAATATTACGCACAATCACTTACTAACCGGAGACCAGAGACCAAGATGCGAAACCTGCCACGATCGTCTTACTACACTACATCTGCTATCATGTCCTCAGTATCAACAACAACGTCGTCTTCTAAATATCCAACCTGAAATAGAAAGAGCACTGGATAATCAAGAAACAAATATTAGAAACTTAATAACTTACCTAAAAGTAACCAACCTTTTTCTAAAAATATAAAAAATCCTGAGAACCCAATTCGTAAGTTAAAAGTTAATTCCCTGACAATGTAAATACCAAAATGGACTAAAAGTGTGTTACATAAATTTTCCACTACAGAGCTAATGGCCATAGCAGTCGAAGCTCTATAATTATAAAAAAAAAAAAAAAATAATAATAATAATAATAATAATAATAATAATAATAATAATAATAATAATAATAATAATAATAATAATAATAATAATAATAATAATAATAATAATAATAATAATAATAATAATAATAATAATAATAATAATAATAATAATAATAATAATAATAATAATAATAATAATAATAATAATAATAATAATAATAATAATAATAATAATAATAATAATAATAATAATAATAATAATAATAATAATAATAATAATAATAATAATAATAATAATAATAATAATAATAATAATAATAATAATAATAATAATAATAATAATAATAATAATAATAATAATAATAATAATAATAATAATAATAATAATAATAATAATAATAATAATAATAATAATAATAATAATAATAATAATAATAATAATAATAATAATAATAATAATAATAATAATAATAATAATAATAATAATAATAATAATAATAATAATAATAATAATAATAATAATAATAATAATAATAAATGTTTATTCATAAAAGAATACATAAAAATACAATAATAATAAAAAAAATGTGAACAAACAATTTATAATCACAGAAGCTGTAAGTGCGCTGACTTACAGCTTGTACGTGATATACGAATATGTTCATACATTAGACATACATAAGAGTATCGACGACAACAGGTAAGTTATATTTTATCATAAAATAATGTCACAATAGGGATTTCGTTTCTATAAATTAAAAATTTATTTTATAATAATATTAATAACAACAACAATAATAATAAATTATATTAATAAAAAAAAAGTTTTTGATTATTTTGAATATATTCCTTGTTTAAATATGATTTATAATAAGGACCGATTCCACCGTTGTGTTAAACGAAGTTTAAAGCGACATTTTTACATTAACGATGTCATTTTAATCTCCGTTTAACACAACGGTGGAATCGATCCTAAGTAAATCGAAGAAATAAGTAATTTTGTTGTGAAACCGATTGTAATATAGAATTTAATTTTTTGGGACAAACCGTCCCTGTTAATGGACCATATTAGTGACTACGTAAAAATGATCAAAATGCATCAAATTGAGCCCGAATGTATGCAATCAATCCTACATGCGTGTCACATCCCTCGCCGCCATAAAAATAAATTGAGACTTATGAACTGAGTAGATTAGATCGAAAATGAGATTAAGAAAACATTTTTTTCTACACCCACATGGATATTAGCTTATCAACGCACAGATTCCAAAACGAAAAACTATGCTATTCCCTTCAACTGAACGAATGTATTTCATATCCAATCTAGGTAGTGAGAACATTTTAATATTTTAAATAATAAACTAATTGTTAATATATTTTTTAGTTATTGAGATTAAACATACATTAAAATAGGCTATTCTTGTGTAGACTCGATAAATAATATATAGTATTTCTGTTTTTATTTCGTCTATAATTAGGTACTTATAAATAATTTGTTAATTTAAATAAAACTATAAGAAGTCAATTTAATAAAAGAATAGGTGGTCCTGTGGTTAGCGTTCTTGACTTCCACACTGAAGACTCGAGTTCGATTCTCGGATGGGGAAAAATTATATGAACTTTGTTCTTTTTTTTTTCGTTTATTTTATTTTAAAAATTATTAAAAGTCATAAATTATTTTAAAATTAGTTATTTTGTCTTAATATTCTTAAATTTTTTTTTTATTTTTAAATTTTTGTTAGTGGGTCTTAGAAAAAATATACTGTACAACTCCAGTGGATTGTCCACATCGCACTCAGACGATTGATTTTGTCTTCGTGTGATATGGCCATCATATCCACCCTTGTTGCACAAACTACTATATCTGGAAGTTAGATCATAGTTTTTTTATATTCTGTTGTTGAACATTTAGCAGGAAATTCATACAATTATGTAGTTTGTACATAGATCAAGCGGATCAGGCTATGCTACCTATGTACTATCCTTGAATATTTTAAATGTCAAACACGGCATACACACAGAACCTCCGCACAGAACGATGTCTGTCGATGACTATATTTTTTTTAACCAATCATTACACGTATTCTTGACAGGATGGGAGAATACATATTGATAATTGGTTAAGAAATGTGTGTCTCGGCGACCGGCGACAAACATCGTTTTGTATATGCCGTGACAGTAGTGTCAAAGTCAAAACTAGAAAAATCAAATATGAAATTCAGTGTTGCCGTTTGGGTTGAAATGTCCCCATTGGGTGGGAAATTTTGACTGGTGGGAATTTTGGGTGGATATATTTTTGGGGAATTTGCTCCCATAATGACTTTAGTGTGAATTAATCTCGGTTCTATTCTTTTTAATAAATACATAATATTTATTTATTACTTATTAGATCAGATATGTCTTAATCAAGACCTCACACATGACATGATGTCATGTTATGTTTAGACTATGCAGTGGTTATTCTGTGACTATGCTGCCTTTGAATATCCACATCGGATGCTTCTGAGATGTTGTGAATCTTTGATCATGAGATTCAATATTCGTAAATGTAGTAGGACCTATATACATGAATATTCAAACGCAGAATTTCTGTGGCATTGTGATTAGATAGTATTTGATGATTGGTTGAGTGACCGTTTTCCTTCTGAAAATATAGTCGTCGTCCCTTTCCCCTGACAAACTTAGCTTTTGGGGTTAAAATTTACTTGTGAGGGGGTAATTTAGAGGGAGAATATTATTATAAATTATTAAAAACATTTTTTTAGTGTAGGTGGAAAATGTGGCTAATTTTTAAAATCGTGGGTGGATATAGGGGGTATTTTGAGATTAAGGGCCCTATTCAGTAATTTATCGTTTATGAACGACATCGTTAAGCTAACGACAGTTCAACCAACGACTTTTATAACGATAATTTTTGAAACTCTATTCAATAACAAAGTCGTTACGTTGTTTCTAGTTACCAAATCCGAACGATGATTTCTAGTAAGTTGGTATTATAATTTAGTGTTTTGTGATAAAAGAACGTATGTTGATGATTATACCGGGTGTTTAAATTAAAGTTTTACAGTTAAATATCGACAAAAATATGAATTTTATAAAAAAAAAGTATCAGACAAAAGTTTTATAGTTTTTTAGGGGAAACATTTTGGCCAAATTATTTTTTTTATAGCTGACCATAATATGGCCATATCGAGGTGGATTTTTTTTCATATTGGAACCCTCTATTTTTTTACATAGGTATTCTTAGAGTTCATAAAAAAATAAGAAACTTCTAAATAAAACATTTTTTTATTGGATTTCTACTTATTGAGTAACACCCAAAATAAAACTATAAAACTTTGTTTTTTTTTTTATAAAAGGCGGTATTTAACTGTAACCCTTTAATTTGAACACCCGGTATAGTTGACATTTTTTTAGGAACGTAAAATAAAAATTCAACCAGTAGATATATTCATTTGTTTTTCAGAATATATTAATTATTGTTCTTAACCTACAACACGATCAGGGGGTCGATTCTCGATTCGTAGGAATTCTGTTTCTCGCGGGCCATTTTTGCTGGTCGTATTGTATGTAGGGCTTATTAAAATGAGTATGGATATATTAAAAAAAACTGAGAACTATTCCAAAAGAATACAAAAAACAACTCGAGAACAGTACAAGATGTATTTTTTATTGGATTTGAAAGACAAACCAAATTTCTGTAGGTTACGGAGAAGTATAGGTACTTCCATAGGTTTTGTTACTGTTTCGCAGTGCTACTTTAGGAACAGCACTGTTAATAAGAATCCAATAGTAAATGGTTGAATGGGCAATCCTAACTTTGAATCCGATTTATTTTTAAAATAATTAAATAAATTAGAAAAAAATTCCTTACAAATTTTACTTGCTGTATTAGGTATATGGCAATTTAGTTGTAAAATTTGTAAAAAAGTGTTTTTATTATTTAGAACATATCCTGATTCATAATAAAAAATGAGAGGGAATGCAAAAATCACTATAACGACACTTCATATTATTAACGACAGCTCTTTGGCTATCGTTGATGAACGACAATTTTACAACCATATTTGTCTATTTTCAACGACAATCGTTGTCTACTGAATAAGAAAAGTCGTCTGTGAACGATTATCGTCTATTAACGACGTCGTTCAGAGTTACTGAATAGGCCCCTAAGTGATGGGAAATTTTACATTTTCGATTCGGCAACACTGAAAAGATTATCAGCTGATTAAATGACATGTGACATATACATGGGACTTGTTTTATTTTTTTAATATTAATTGATTTGTCTTTATTACAGAATAGGGCAACATGAAATCAGGACTTTAGTATAAATGTGTAATTTTACGTGATTTGTTACGAATATGAATTTACACCAGATCGTCAGTGGCGCCTGCAACGCAGGCGATAAATGTTTTGCTGTAGGATCAGTAGAAGGAGTTCCCTTTACTGTAAGTTATCATTAATTTTTAAATTTGGGTGTTATTTATTAATATTTCAGGCTTACGCAGCTGGATGTAACATTGTAATATTAGCCTCTACTTTTGAACGAGTTCAAATAATACCTGGTGCTATTCATGACTATATTAGGATCACTTCTGTAGATTGTTCTAGCGATACTGGAAAGATAGCTGCTTCTTATGATGATGTGGTTTGCATATACGAACCTACTCCTTTGATTCATAATACTTCATCTCATGTAAGTAAAATAACTTGATAACCTATATATTACATTTAAGTCAATTCGATAAAAAGTCAAGAGAAAGGTTTAAAGCACTAGGGGGAGCTAAACTGCTATAAATATGTTACCTATTTCAAATCTTAAATCAACCTATTTATTTATATTTTCTGGTTTTGGTTTTATTGGGTTAGGTGTTTGAATTAAAGCAAAAGTACAGTTTTTTAAGAGCAAACCGGACTTCTTGGGAAAGCAAAAATGTGAGGACTTTTTATTATAAATTTGTATTTATATGCACGCCACTGTGATTACTTCGCGATGTTATGTGTCTTGAGAATATTGAAACTGCTAGATATTTATTAAAGCAAAAAGCATATTTTAATAGATGTAATACAGAATGGTGGGTAAATATACAGGGTGTTTCAAAAAGGTATGTCATAAATTATACCACGTATTCTTGGGTCAAAAATAGAATGATTAAACCGTACTTACCCATATACAAAAGTGCACCCAAAAATAGTTACAGGGTGTATAAGATAAAAATTTAAATTAATTTTTTTAACATTGCTCTTAAACTGTTTGACATTTTTTCATGAAATTTTATTTGACGTGTTGGAATACCATGACTAACAAAATCGAAGTAGCGGCAAAATATTTTTTTTTATTTTTGTAGGATTTTGGAGGGTGTCACCGCCCCTTTCTCTATTCAACTTTTTTGTAGTATAAAATTTAATTACAAATGAAACGCCACTGGAATCCAACATCCATTTGGAAACTTTTTGTCTGTTAGTATTTGTTTGTAAAAAGTTTAGTTTAGACGATACAGCCATTTGAAATGACAACTTAAAAATATTCAATGGAAATTATACGTATGAAAAATATCAAAATCAAGTTTATTTTTAAATTACAAACTAATATCATCAAATAAAAACATTTAATTTAACAGGTGTTCAAAATTACATTCTCCTCCTGTATACACTTACTACATAGTTTTAACAATGAAAATCGAATTTTGATATTTTTGCATATGTATAATTTACATTGAATATGTCATTTTAAGTGGCTGTATCGTCTAAACCAAACATTTTACAAACAAATACTAAGAGACAAAAAAGTTTCCAAATAGATGTTGCATTTCAGTAGCGTTGAAAAGTTGAATAGAGAAAGGGGCGGTGACACTCTCCAAAATCCTACAAAAATAAAAAAAATATTTTGCCTCTACTTCGATTTTGTTAGTCATGGTATTCCAACACATCATATAAAATTTCATGAAAATATGCCAAACGGTTTAAGAGCAATGTTAAAAAATTCATTTAAATTTTTATCTTATACACCCTGTAACTATTTTTGGGTGCACTTTTGTATATAGGTAAGTACGGTTTAATCGTTCTATTTTTGACCCAAGAATACGTGGTATAATTTATGACATACCTTTTTGAAACACCCTGTATATAATCCTTTAAAAAATTATCAAAAATACTTTTCGAATGTTTCTCGACCTAAGTTTTGTTATTATTGGTATTTCTGAAAATTTCACAAAAATTTTACTAAAAATAAAGGCTTAGAAGGAATAAGAGATATTTAAGGTGTTCCGTTTGCTCTTAATAGTGAAGTTGTAAAGCTTTCGACACTTGTATGTGCCTTCTTCAAAACTTTTATCAATATTCTTTAATTAGTCATTATGTATTATCTTTTATCTATTAACTAATTAAAGAATATTAATAAAGAAGTGCCGAAAGCTTCACAATATATCATCACTATTAAAAAAAACTAGTTTTACTTCAATTCAAACATCTACAACCCAAAAAAATCAAAACCAGAATATTCAATAATAAGGTATGAAAACCATAAAACATGGGATAATTATTCCTGTGATTTATTTAATTATATATTTATTTAAATCTTTTGGTTTAGGCAGCAGTTTATACAGCCAACTTTTTATCAGACAATATGTTTGCTTGTGTAAAGAAAATAGGGATGTATGGGGATTCCGGCGGTACCACTAAATCTGGCTAATCAACCGGAACGTAGTCCGGCAGAATCACAATTGGGATCCGCCCGGAATTTTTTAAATAGATTAAATAATATAAGCACAAAATAAGGAAAATATTTTGAGATTTATTAAATTTAAAGTCGTTATCAAGCAATGACTTTTAACTGTTGAGTTAGAATGAAGTAGAGACGACATAACCACTATTTTGCGATATGACAGATGGATGCACTATGAAGACTAGAGAGATCGAGGCGAATCAGCATACTTGAAATACGATCCTAAAAACAAACATGAATTAAACTTTTAAAATTCACCGCAAGGGCTCTGGTGTAGCTAGGGATGTTAAAAATACATGGCTTCTTATGGGAATTTTACATAATTTTGTGAAAATAATAAAAATAAACTTGTTTATTGCAAAATAAAACCCAGAAAATATTGCTGTAGGTATTTATTTTTAAATAAGTCTTAGGTGATACATTATTTAATTTTATCTATATAAAATGCAAATTAGGTATGACCAAATTCGAAATAGTTTGTTAAATGGTGAAATTAGGTAAGTAAAATTATGTGGCTATTTTTTTTTTAATTATACCTAAATATAGTTTTAATAGCCAAATAAAACACTGTTAAAAGATTTTTTATTGTTATAATACAAATATAAAGGGATATTCTGGAATATACATTGTATTGCCTCATTGCCAATTTTGGCCTTCTACTTTTTATTTTGCTAATAGTACCATCAGTAAAAATGTTTTTAAATATCTTCTAAAAAGTGTAGCTCGCAAACTGCAACATTTCTAGAAACGGCTTTATCAGCCCTGGGAGTGATATGCTGCCACTGTCCTAAACGTTTAGGATATTATAAAAAACATTTACAATGACAAAATTGGGGTTCAACAAAAAAATAATAGTAACTCTTCATCTAACATTAAAACTCAAAAAAAAAAAAAATATATTTTCTAGTAACTTAAATGTAATGTGTAATTATTGTTGTTTATAAGTGAGGATTTATGATTGTAACATTTTATATTATAGAAATTTGAAATAAAATAAACTACACTCTATAAAATACTGGTTTTTGACTAGTTTACAATAAACATATTTAGAAATAAATTATTTTACTTAAAAATATTTGAATTTCTCCTTGTGTGTTCTTTAGTTTTACATCTGATTTATATCCCGTTTTATAACCTGGAACGAAGTAAATCTTGCTTTGATGTTTTTTGTCACTCATCTTACTTGTAGTCAGGTACTTTTTTCACATTATTTTGATTATTTTCACCAATTTTTAAAAAAATACACTTTTTTTCACATAGAAAATTAAAGTCACTAACGTTCAACCTGTAAACTACAGTCACTTTGGCAAACTATATAAAAAGGACGGAAATTTGAAATTTGCCCATTGTCGATTAGCCTCCTTCTCTCTAGTCTTCATAGCGATGCAAAGAGTGATGGAAAAGCATAATCAAAATGGCGACTTAGAGTCAAACATTGATTTATTTTAAGTCAATAATTTTATATTTGAAGATTGACGGAATGAAAATGCTTTTATATCATTGTGGACACTTTTAGTATCGTCATCTTTATTGTATTGATGCATTTGAAAAGTACCTCGTTTTGTTTTTTTTACCCGTTACTGTTCTTTTAATACATCCAAGTTCCGTTGCTCCATTGATATGGTTTGCTTGATGTTACGTGACCAAAAAATCTACTCGCTCTGCTTGAGGAGGTACATTTCAAACTTAGAATATTTCAATGCTTTTATCTAATAGTTCTAAAGCCATGTTTGCACGTCACACAAAGCTCATTCTTAGGGTTTAGCTCTGTCTGTTTAAATTCGAGCTCATTTTGTTGAATTGATTGGTGATTTTGTAAATTAATTTGCAGTTGTTTTTTGTTTTATAAATATTTTGGTATAGAACTGTAAAATTCCGGCTGAAATTACGGCGTTCCGGTCCGGCAGCCGCTGTTATTTCGGTTTCGGCCGGATCGGCTAAATACCGGATCTGGTACATCCCTAGTCAAAAGTAGTATTTTTAGTATCTGTAATTCTTCAAATTGTAACCTTGGTAATAGTAATAATATTATTTTTTAATATTTATTACTCATCACATATCCCAATAACTCCTTGGTATTGTTATGTAACTAAGTATTTTGTACAGGATTTGATACAATAAAAATTCAACAACATTTATTTATTTTATGAAATATTGATGTGTTTTTTCTGATTAAAAAAGATATTAATCTTCTCTGTATTGAAAGATTGAAAATAATTACAGTAGGTTTTGTTTAACAGGGTGCTCTGTTAATGCATAAAATATAAAAAACATATAATAAAAATAATTTTATTATTACTATTGATATTATGTTCAGAACTTTAGTGAAACCATATTTTAAAACAAGAACTTCTGTATCTGTAACGTGTGAAGGGTGGGTTAACCCACGGCACTTAGGCCTCAGTAGAAGAACTTGTTGAAATGTGTTTTATTTTCAGAGGGCTACTTTAAAGAGACCACCAAAAGTGAAGGTACTATAAAATAAAAATAATGTGTGTCCTAATTTGTTTGGGTATTCAGCAATAATGATCCTATTAAAAAAGCATGAGTACTGTGCTTTTTGGCTCTGTGATGTTTACATTTTTTTCTAATTGCATACTTTCATGTGAATAGAGAACACATTTCTAAAAAGTTATTGCTTATCTTAAAAAATTACAATTTTGTGATAATTTAAATCATATCATAAACAAACTCTATGAATAAAGAATATATTTTTATTATACTGAAGGAGTAGAGTAAATTTTTTTATATAAAATGCACATTATGTGATTATGACTATTGCTGGTATTTTTTTGTTTAGTGAGATTATTGAGCATTCTTACTTATGAAGACTAGGAGAGAGCTATGAAAACAACAAAAAACATGTTGATTACTGAATAATTCACTGCTTTGTAATTTGTAATATATATTTCACATGATAGAATGTCATTTTCTATAATATGTTCAATTTTACCTTAACAGAGTCATTTAAT